CATGAGGCCTCTGTGCTCATACCCAGAGCTGTATGCCTTTGAGACCACATTAGGGATGCTCTCTATATGATAGAGAGTCATGAGCCATTACTTGCACATACGCTGACCTCATTATAGGAAAAACTGGACATGTTTAATGTGGGCTTAACTTTAAATCATCATGGAATTGTATCTGTAGAACACCTTAATATTTAAGGTGATAATATTCAGTTGTATGATTGTGGTCAGTGACTCACTGAGCTAACATGCACCTAATTTATGCGCATTTTAATTTTTGCATGCCAGTCACAAACACACACATTAGAGCAGTTTCACCTGAGGCAGGTCCACCTCACATCAGTGTCCTGCAGAGTGACCACAAGTTAGTTTGAAGAGCTTAATGATTACATCCTGTGTACATGAAGCATATTCCTAAATGAAGCTATTCTTTTAAATCCACAGAACTCATGTACTCAGAGGTAAACTCGGGCCAAGGGTTGTTATTTACACGGGTGAAATGAAGCTGTCACATCAAGCCTGCACACTGTGTAAGGTAGATTTAGCCTTTCAGGTTAAAACAAAAATCACTGAGTACAGTGGATATAAAAGTGTACACATCCCTGTTAAAATGCCAGGTTATTATGATGTTAAAAAAAACAAGACCACAAAAAATTATTTCAAATCTTTTCCCACGATTAACATGAACTTTGACCTCTGCACAATTCATCTGAAAACCAAACAGATCTGTTGTGGGGAAAAATATGAATAATTAAAAACGTACAATAAGGGAGGCTGCCAAGATACCTACAGCAATACTGAAGGATGTGCAGGTATATTCGGCATGTACTGGTTGTGTGCTACATATGACAACATCCTGTATGTTGTCACATGTGTGGACTATGGGGCAGGGTTTCAAGACGGAAGCCTTCTCTGACAAAGAAAGACATCCAAGCCCAGGCACAATTTGCAAAAAAAAAAAAAAAAAAAAAAGCTAAAGTCTCTCAAAAGCATGTTACCATCCCCATGGTGAGCCATGGTGGTGGCGGTATCATGCTTTGAAGTTGAATTTTATCAGCTGGAACTGGAGCTTTAGTCGAGGTGGAGGGAATTATGAACACCAGTCGCTTTTGGCTCAAAACCTTCAGTCATCTGCTTGAAAGCTGAAGATGAAGAGGAATTTCACCTCCAATGACCCCAAGCATATATCCAGATCAAGATAGGAAATATTTTCTTTTAGTGAAAGTTTTGCACAGGAGATGACCTCACAATCTGACAGCTGGAGCACTTTTACAAGGAAGAGTGAGCAAATGTATCCAAGTCAAGATGTGCCATGCTGATGGATTTTTACCCAAAAAGGGTAAATGCTGTAATTAAATAAAAAGTTGCTTCAACAAAGTTTTAGTTTAAATGTGTGCATGCTTATGCAAGCAGCCTATTGTCCATTTTTTGTCCTTTAGAGTTTTCCCATAACAGATTTGAATGTTTTTCAACTGAATTGTGCAGGTTGTAACACAAGGGAAAAGCTTTGAGGGTCATGCACACCATTTATATCCACTGCATACACTTGTATCTAACAGATACTACAGCACTACCTTCTGCACAAAAAGGATGTAGTCAATCTCATGTTCTCCCCAAACCCCATCGGACTGGGCCTTGTAATGGATTCTTGTTAGGTATGTCATTTCATCTGGAGTCACCTGAGGAGAAACAGGAAAGCGGAGATCACACACAAGCGAAGATTTGCCACAATCCTTAGTAATCCTCTTCCAGTGTGGGTAGAAGTCAGAAATGAACCACACACCTGCTCCATGGGAATACCCAGCTCTGCGCCGAGTCTCCTCTGAGCAGCTCTCCTCACCCCCAACGCATCCTTCTCCTCCAGCTCACTGTCTGTGTGTAGAGGATGACTACAGCATGTGTTTGTGAAGCAGCCTGCACAAAAAACACACACAGAGACACAGAGGATTGTTAAAACCTATAAATACTGCTTAGCCTCGATAAAGCAGCCTCTGAGGGGACCGCAGGAGAATTTAAAAGTAGAGAGACTGACCTGGAAAAGTGATTTTGGCGTCAGACCTCTGCTGTAAAAGCAGCTTCTCCTCGCTGTTGAAAATAAAGACGCTGAAGGCTCTGTGCAGCAAACCTGTTGGCAAGAACAAACAACATGCATAGAAATGAGTGATGCAGAACAATACCTGTGTGGATCCTAATGTGGAAGACAGGCACCTTTGTCGATGTTGGAGTTGAGGTGGCAGTTTTTCTTAGTGTCCGCTCCGATCTTGAGGTCGTTCTCGTCGATGAGGATGCACATCTCGGACAGAAGCTGCACCTGCTTCTCATCCAGGTGATCGGTGGTTACTTCGGGCATTCTGGCTGCAGACTGCAGGTGTCTGACTTCACTGCAGCGCACAGGGTAGCAAACAGTTCATGATTCACCAATTTATCAGTGTTGGCTTTTAAATAGCACTTTTCATTTGAATGACAGGCTTCACCGTTGTATTTTTTTTCTGTAGTTTTACAGTAGATGAAAAAATGATTATTGTGAGGTGCTTCTGAAAGCTCTAGAAAGTGGACCTTGCGTTTTATTCCAAGTTTAGGATTCAATATTCACACTCAAGGAATATTGTATAGCAATAACACTGAAAATCCAAAATCAAGAGACTCCGTGAAATGATCAAGAAACCCTCTTTGAAACAGTGAAACACATGAAACGTTGGTATCTTGCTAGTTCGGTATAGCTTTTATATTAAGACAAAAGTTTACTAAATACACCTGCTACAACATATAAAGCATGCCGTACTGGCGACAATATACTGAGGATTTGAGCCACGACCATAACAGTGTGTTCTTTAACCCTTATGTAAAGCTATGTCAAGAGCAAGACTTTGTTTTAGACAGAATTTGGCCTGAGTTTTGTTGGTAGCTGTGATAACCCGGAGCATACAAACAAACGCGCTGCGGCACTCAGCTATCAATAGCCCAAAAAACAGCGTTACTTCCTGTTTACGGCTAATAAGCTTAACCGTTAGCTGGCTTTTAAACTCAGTATTTTGGGCCGGTTTCAGAAACCTACGTCCTTCCATCTTACCTGGATATTGCTCTGCCGCAGGTAGTAACAGCTGCGCACGCAGGTCTGGATCGCCGCAAAGCTCCTGTGGTGGCACAAGGTGCGTTTGATTTCAGCACAGCGGCTCCCTCCCTGGATAGCATCCGGAGGACCGCCCACACAGCCCGCGCCATGGCCTGAGAGAAACAGAAAACCAATCACGGGGACCGGGGGTGTGGCTGTCGGTAAAAAAAACGGCCAGGATCGCAGTGGGTCGGGATCGGAAGGTTAAATCACGCTTCTTGACAAGGTTATTCTGCCAGATTACCACCACTCTATAATTCAGATATATTTAATTTACAATGACACAAGAGAGAGAGAGAGAGCTCGGCTGTTCAAACACTCGATTTTTTTTTAGCATTAAGGTTCCTGTTTTAGATCAAGTGCAGTTCATGTTACATCCATATAGGAAAGCCATAGAACTTAATACAGGGTGCAGGCTCGCTTATCAAGCCCACTATGTCCCTTCAACTGAATTCTACTGATCTGTTTTGACTGTAAATTACACTAATTCATACAATTCGGTAGTGAAACTCTCAAACACCTATATTTCCGGTAAGTTAATGCAGTTCAAGCTCCATTAATCATTCACATGATTGCTTCTGCAACAATCACGGTAATCAGGAGGACACTGAGCCGATACGGTCAGATTTTGGGAAGCATCTTTCATGTCTCTTTGAAACCAGTACAAGGTGATTCACCAGGTGTACAGCTAGCTTTAAAGCATGGCTCTACTCAACAATGGCAAAACAAATAAAATGAAAATGTGATGAGGCTATTGTGCTAGTGATCCACTTCTACACCCAGGAAAATGCCCCTCTTGTTTTGCCTCTGCAATCTAACAGAGACATTTTTGCACTTTTATAACTGTGGCTACACCTCTCCATAAGTGTACTATGCATATATGCTTATAAATATGCAGACAGCCATCTTTAAAAGGCAACCCGAAGAACTTGTGACAGTCTGGCCCTGCATTTATAATGGAACTGCATCATATTACATATATTTAATTCAGTGAGGAGGACATATTTCGATGATGCAACTTTGATAAAAAAAATAAAAAAATAAATAATAATATAAATAAATATATTAGGAACATTGTATAGGAATAAACTACTCCAAAGTTTACGCAAACACAAGTATGATTGCGTTATATTAATCAAGTGTAGTTATGTATTAATAAAACATTAAAGCTACTTATTTTAAATTTTCATCGTCAAAACCTTCCTTACCTGTTTACTAAAGCTATTTAAAGAAGGTGAAGAAAGAAGGGCAATACCAAGTTGTACCACAAGATGGTGCAATGAATCCATCTAACATTTATTCTACCTGGTAACTCATATTTTTAATAGTGGCCACACAAAATAAAAGGAATAAGGGAGCAAACAAGAAGTGAAGTACAAATCCCCAAACACTCCAAGTTAAAATGCAATTGCATAAAACAACTTTAAGGTCTAAGCTGAAAATGGTAACGAGCCAACAGCTCCGTTCCCGTAGACTCTGCTTCATGTTTTCCTCCAAGCCCCGACTGTCAACACGCCATCAGACCACTGCACAGCACATCTGCGCCACCCAGGCTTCTGTCAACTGAACATAAGTATGCACCGGCTGTTGTATATACACGCTACAGAGAAAGCGACAAAGCATTCAATTACTCACGAAAGCTGTACTTTCTTTAAGGTTTGCAAATCACGTCTTTTACCGTGTTTCGACGGTGTTTTAGGGCGCAGTCTGTCAGAACGACTAGCGCTTAGAAGTTACTAACCTCACGGTTTTTCATTCGTTGTCCTCCCAGCCGCGAGACAGCTCATTGGCTAACAAAGTGCAAACACGGTCTACGTTACACGGAAGTAGAGTGCACAAATAATATACGTCATGTGTCAAAATTTTCTAATAAAAATCTGATACTTTTTGTAATAAAAGTATAATTGATCACCCATTTTCCAAACTAATGAGTCACAGCCTTGTCAAAAATGCAAACTTGTTAGCGTACACGAGCTCGTGCGACGTTAGAGATGATATAACCCGTCGTGTCCTTTAGCTGCTGTGCGCTGTTTGGTCTAAGATGCCGCGAGGAAGCTGATATGTGGCAGTTAGCTCGTGCTAGCGTTTAGCTCTAGTAATTTCTCGGGCTGCTTGGCGTGTATAGATTCAGTCAGGTAATGACAGTGGTGAGTGTCGTCTCGTTTCGTGTACCTGTATATCAAAATGATGTCAAATTACCTTTTAATTTTTCATAGGTAGTTAATAGACGTACTGTTTTATGAATCGACGCGTTCAGGCGTGTTTACCGTTTCCAGTCTCAGTTTCACGCTCATATATATAACGAGCGAGCTAATATTTATTACACATCATTGCCTGCCCTAGAAAATTTCTGTTGGCTTATATTTATTACCCGTTGTCCTCTGGCTTACTATCATACTGCGCTATAATAACGGAAGCAGCGGACATACAGCGCTGCAGAACTTCAATAACATCCTGTAATTAATGTGGTAATATCTGCTGGCAAAGAAATGTACGATTTAGAAGATGATCGGGTCTTTCAGGCTTTACTGGCTGTCTATTGTAAATTCAGGCGACACCATTTACCTCGGGACTCTTTATTAATTGGACAAAAGGTCTAAATGCACTTTCTATATCTATTATTTCCCCGTGTAAAAGAATAACGTGAACACATAGTTAAATTGTTGGGATTTTTGAATGGATTTAGAATTTAGGTTGTTTTACCTTAAAGAATTCATGTAATGGGGCTAAACCTGCATTTTCCTTTCTTTTCACTGACAGACAGGTGGCGATAACTGAAAGCCTGAACCAGCCAACCAGAAAGTCCAGCCAGTGTTTACCTGTTTCTCAGGTAGGGTGTGAACAGGGGGCAGGGCCACCCACGAGGTAGGAGGGATGCCTGTGGAGGGCGGAAGCAGCAGCGGCTCTGCTTCAGCTGCCCGTCACCCCAAGCAGAAGCGCAAGGCTCACAGTTTGTCTATCAGGCGCACCAACAGCACGGAGGAGAGGCCGGGAGGCATCCAAAGAGGAGACATGCTGGATGGACAGGTGAGGGGGAAATACACAAAGACATGGATCCATGGGTTTTCTCATTTACACACAAGCAAATCGACAACAGCAGACAAGCAATCTATGTTAACTTGCAGTTTTGAAGACAGCGTAATAACATATGTTAGGTGTAAAACACACAGTTTCACTTTAAAACACAGCAGGCTGTTCTCGCATAAGTAGCATTTTTATTGTTAGGCTGTTTTGGTGCGAGGCTGGTTCTTTCATTCACAAGAGTACAGTATGAGCCGGTTAAGCAGCATTTCTTTTATTTTGTACTTGCAACATCAACAACGCCACGCTTTCACGTGTTTATGAGTTTCTTCCTCTTTGTGAAACAGTAGCTGCAGTTTCTTAGTTTTGGGCAGATATTTCTTAGTCAAAAAGTTAATGCTGTCTCTGTCCTCTGTGGGTTTAGACTTTGGTTACTCATTTCTTTGTTTTAAAACAAAGTACTCGCCTGTGTCTCTGGTATCAAGTTGGTTATTAACTTACTCCAAACACGGTTCTCTAAATTAGTTCTACAATTGATTTATTTCTTCCAGAAAAGGGAAGACTGAGAACCTGTTCACGAGCAGCCATTTCCTGGTGCAGACCAGTTGCTTCTTCCCTTCTGAGATAATAAAAACTGTTTCTGTTTGATCAAGAATATCTTGGTTGTTAACTTTTGGGAGTTGGCTTTACAGCGACCTTATTGAAAGTCATCTCCCAGATAAGACCAACAGATGGTTTGTGAGTGTTTCACATTGTATTGACAGGTTTCTCGTATCGGGGGAGATGATAGACAACGTGTAGGGTTAAAATGAAAAACACGTTGGATGACCTACTTATCAGTCACTCTCAAAAATGGGATGGTTGAATTTGTCAGTTTGCCAGACCATGGAAATCCTTTGCCTTTTACTTTCTGCGCTTTGTCAGCCACTAAAAGTAGAGCTCAGCTTGCACTCGCCTGTTGTCTCATCAAGTTTTAATATGGGCCGCTTGTTCAGGTCTGATTAGTCTTTTCAACAGTCCTTTTTTGTTTATTGCCAAGACTGGCTGGCGCTGTGGATGTACCTCCTCTATTCCCTGCAGCACTGGCTACACATACACAGACAGTTTTATGGACCCATATTTTACACAGAACAGATATTCTTCCTCACTTTTAACGCTGCCGGCTTTGGCCTGAGTAAGCTGCAGGTTTAAGTGCCACTACTAAAGCAGCTTTAAATTCACAAGGCCTGCCTGTTACTTCTTAAATGACCTTTATTTATTTGTTTGGGCTTTTTTTGATAAAGTGTGTGAACGTGGTGATGACAGAATGGTCATGCGGCTAACGTCATTGTGCCAAGCGGTTGGTTTTTTAACACGTGCCTCAGCTGAAGGGTGACAAGTGAAGTGTTTGGTATCGTTCCTTTGGACGGCTGAAGGACTGAGCAGCAGCGCTCGGGGAGCTGTGAGACGCAGCCTTCTGAATCTAGTGTTTTCATGGCAGCTTTTATGTGTCTTCACATGCTAGTCTGGTGGAGATTGGCGGTCAGCTGGTAACTGGGTACATCTAGGACTGCACCATGGAGGTAAGTTAGTAGAGGCTGGTTGGACACTCCTGTTGTGTAGTTATTTGTTTTTAGCTTGTAGCTCTGTAGCTCAAACTGTGGCCAAGAGTTCGCACAAGTTCATCTGCTGCCCGATTAAATCGCGTAAACACGTGTGTTCAGTTAAACGTTTTACCTTTAAGAGTCACAAACTTCACTTCCGACTGTAATAACAGAACATGTTGTTGTTATACAGTTCTGCATTTTTGGCATAGCATTATGCTACATTATGTTACGCCACACTTGAGGATGTGGAGCGAATTCCTGCTCTACATTCCTGACCTTGAAGCGTGCCGTGTGTATGACCTTACTGTGTGTTTGGTTCTGTTTTCTGTCTGTCCAGGACTCCAAGCTGCCTCTCACGTTGCGGAGCAATCTTCTTGACCTGTTTGGTCAGATTGAACGGGAGTTTGAGAATCTCTACATAGAAAACCTTGAATGTGAGTAACTGACAGTGTACGCATCAGTGCTCATTTACTGAGTGGACGTTTTCAGTGTTTAAATACTGACACGTCATCGCTGTCTTACGTTGCAGTACGTCGGGAAATTGAATCACTGAATGAGCGGCTGACTGGAGATGGACAGGCTGTTGAGGGAGGAGACCCCACCAAGGGAGCCTTGAAAACAAAAGGTCCGTAATTTCCAACACAAATCTATTTAAGTCTGTAATTTACACTGAGTACAGTTAATAGAAGTCTTTGGAAATTGAAATGGAAAATATTGATTGTGTTTAAAGTGGATATCTCATCCCATGGTGGCTGAAGTAATCTCCCTGGGAGCTGATAAACATAAAGATTTAAATTGGCATGTTACTTATGTGTCATCTTTGTGACAGACTGTCGTAAAACAGCTGTACACATATGAGCAGTTGTTTTTATTTTTACCTTTAGGAAGCCAAACTGTGTTTGTTCTTTGAGTTACTGTGGTTTAGTCACGATGCAGATAGATAAATGGTGACTTGTAGGGCGTTTGTAAATGATTAAACTGCTGATTAAAACTCGAGGAAGTTGTTGATCACAGTCCACACAGTGTTATTGCCACAGGCTGAAGACAGAGGAGTCGCCAGCATCACAAAGGCGGTGAATTTCGCCGGCTGAGTGGCACCGTAACACCCACAAAGGGGTGTGGGACTTTTCAGTAAACTGATTTCTCCTGAGAGATATTACAAACAGTGGCATTCCCACTCTGTCTCTAGCCAGCTTTTCGTGTTCTGCATCACATCCATGTCATGACATTTCTCAAAAAGTATCACAAAAACCATTTTGGACCCAAACTACCAGGAGTCCAGGAACATAAATTGAAGGGAAATGTGCCCCCAAATCACTCAAACATACGATAGCATTCGAAAAGAAGAGAAGTACAAAGATACAAGCAACTAAATGTTTACAAAATTATAGATAATACCAAAATAACTTTAAAATATTTAAGATAAAATAGCGAAGGACACGGATATTTTCTACCTTTAAAAAATGCTGTAATGAATAAGAGTTAAAGTGAAGGTTAATGAAAGCAACAAAGTTTAATTTGAGATGTTTTATCGGCTCTCTCAGACAGGCAGACTCTACCTGCACAGCCTAAAAAGACAATTTATCATTTCTTTTTTTTTTTTTTTTAACTTCTTTTTATGGCAGATGTTTGTACCAGCTGTGTTTGTTTATGTTGTGTCTATATGCTGACCAGGCTGCTATATGGCATGGCTACACATTTGCATGAGCCACCTGTTTTTTCTTTGTATGATGGTACAGGGTGAGTGAACATTTTCTAGGAGCTAATGTTTACTTGGATTTTACTATTTGGGCATCCAGCAGCCTCCATAAGGTGAAAATACTCTCCAGTAACCCTCCGCCTGGCTGTGTATCCCTGTTTTCAGTAAATGTGTTTTCAATGCCAACAGTTGCCTCGATTTTCACTGCAGCATCCATAGTTTTCATTTGACTTCAGAGCTCGAGGCACATGCCCACCTGGAGGGCAAAAACAGTATGGCGGCCCTTTGAAAGTCTATAAGTTTAACTTATCGAAAATACCAGAAGGTTCCTGTGCTATCAGATGCACTAATAAGCTTTAACTAACCCTGCCTTACAGGCTAAACGTACCAGTCCCTGTTTCTCCTCAGCAGCCCTGGTGTCAGTGGTGTCTCAGTTAAACTGTTGGAACAATTTACCTGACATTAGATGTATGACAAATGTGACAAATTCATGTTATTGGAACTTTTCTGACCCTACACTGTAAATTTCCACAAGACATGAGATTGGAATACATATGAAGATACATCTAGCTGTAAGCTTCCAGCCTGGCAGCAGTGCAAGGTGAGAAAACCCCCCCAAATACTTTAGTCCTGCAGTACTACTGAGTGTCCACTATCGGCTGTCATGATGGAGGAACGTTTTGCCCACCAGGTTAGCAAGTGACTGAAATCTGTGAATCACTATAAGATGCCATATAAAAATTGTACAAACAATGATGACACGTTCTGTAAACTGATCGATGTTCATGCTTGGGGTGAGACACTCACATAGGTCAGACTTATGTAAACCCTCTGTTATGACACCTAATATCCTTAAAGGCAGCCTGGATTTCTAAAATAAGCTCAGTTTAACTGGTGATCACACTTTGTGAAGCTGAGCTCTCGACAGTATTTTCACAGCTCCGTCCTTGCTGGACACGGGGACATTTACACTGCATAAATGTTCAGTGTAGATAGTATAACTAGAAACGCTCAACAAGGCTTTGTATTGTCGAGGTGTGTGCTATTTTAAAATCTTGACACTTTACGAGGCCGTCACTGCAGCAGTGAATAAAAGCAAGCAAGAGTTCTGTCACTGGGTAATGAATTTCATTCATTGTTCTTTGTGTCTCTGTCACACAGCCAGCCACAGCACCAGTCAACTGTCACAGAAGCTGAAGACGACCTACAAAGCCTCTACCAGCAAGGTACCTGGCACAAGCCACGTTAGCCTGTTCAATAGAGCTCGTAAGACGTGTCATGTGTGTAAATATTTGAGCTTTTGGGATTCAGGCCTGTGTGAAGTAACTGACTGTGGAAAGCCCCTGTAATGCTGAGTGAGAGGAAGGAAGAATCTTCCTCTGAGGAGATCATAATCTGTTTAAAAAATGTGGGTAAACAAATAATTCACTGATATGATTGAAGATTTTAATCACAGGGGTAAAAGAAATCGTGTGTTTACTACAGCATTTACCACAAAATGTCATCTCCCATGACTTTGTCCTTTGTAATCTCTTGACTCTCTGACACAGTGCTTGTACACTTTCCAGGGCAAATTAGGTGGACCTCGCAACTTCAGTGTGGCAACATGGGAGTTGTGGGGCGGAGATTCATGGGTAACTTCCTGAATGCTCTGTTTGCCACTAAGCATCATGGGGGAGGCGGTGGTGGCTTGAATGTCTCTTTAACTGCAGTCTGAACTTGACTCCTTCTCTGCTCTGCACTCATACTCAAGTCATTTGGGCAAAGCTGCATTTGTTAGATGTACAAAGTGTTACTTTTTATTTTATTTGTTTGTCCTTTTTTGTATCGCCTTTCATTACTTTGGCGATTCTTTGAGTCACTTTTCATCAGCTGTTTCAAACACCGTGTCAGTTGGCTACACTTACCTTCTTGCTAGATGAGAAGATCAAAAGCAGTCCCAATTTTGGGGGGAGCTGACGTTAGTAGCTGGATAGCTTAGCTAAGCACAAAGACTAGGCCTAAAGACTTCTAATGAGGAAGCAACATTGTATTGCCCGAAAGGTAACATAATACATCTATCAACAATGATTTCTGTGGAACTTTTGTGCTAGTAATTTCATGTTTCTGCTGGTCGCCTTAAAAAAATAGTCCGGCACACGATCCCTGCCTTCATAAAGTTTTGTTGTTTTTACAGTTAAGTTTTTGCACAGTTCAAACAATTGATATAAAAGATTTTGTCTGCACATTATACCTTGTTTTGACTGGGCCAGCTAGCTGTTTTTCCTGTTTTCAGATTTTATGTTATCCACAGTTAACCGGCAACTTGACCAGTGATTAGTGTTTTGTGGTTTTTTGTTTTTTTTTGTTGTTGTTTTTTTTGGGGGGGAAGGGGGGGGGGGTTGTTTTGATCAGTGTTCCCCCGAATTGGGTTATGTTGGACAGGTCTGCTTTCAGCTTCTTTTTGTTGTCTTTCCCATACAGATGTTGTTAGTAATGATTACTATTATTCTGCCTTTGAAATTAACAGATAGTTTTACAAAAACTATTTCAGATTTTGAAAAAAAATAACATCAGGTTTTTCATTAATCTGAAAAATTGCTGCCTTTTGTCTTATAAAGCTAGATGAAGTGTTTCCTCTCTAATTGGTAAAAACCTGTATCTGTACTTGCCATCAGGTTACAGATGAAACATCAGCAGCACAGCTGATGCCCTCAAGCTAGCATCCCTGCCACTAGCAGTATAGCTTCTAGCATCTTTACATCTGGTTAAAACGTTCAGGGCTGATCTCTGTCTGATCGAAATCTGTTGTAATGAAAAAGCTACCATATTCTATCTTCACTTCACCTGCTTTGCTCTGCTCCTCTCCACATTCATGCACACACAGTGAGAGCAGAGGAGAGGAAACTGGTGTGAGCTAAAAATTACACGAGTGCAGATAAAATTAGTAAAATAGAAAAATACCTAAAATAAATATTTATCTTTTTTCCATTGCTATATTTACAGTAATAGGAGAATCATTTTTCTCTTCTTTTGTGTTCTAAGTAAAATGCTGTTCTGCTTTTTTTTAATGCAGAGAAAAACCTTGAATATAGCCACAGTGAAAAGAGCATTGAGGGAATCAAGAAAAGGCTTCTTTAATTAACCCCATGACAGAAGTAGCAGCTATGTACAATACCACTAACCTCTCAGCTGGCTAAGAAACATGACCAAAAACTAATTTTGGAAAGATGGAGGGGACTTGAAACTAATGATCCTCACTAACTATAGCTTCAGTGTTGTACGGGGTTGACATTGACTGGGCTATTCACTCATCTTGTCTGCTATTTTGCTCTAACAACAGAAGGTGTATAGTAAGGTTGCATCAGAGCGCAAGGTGAATATAAACACTCTGGACAGAATAAGAGTTTATATTAACACAGTCTGGCACTCATGAACCAAATACTTTGCTGCTGCTGCATCTAATGTCTAGCAATGTTGTTAGCTTGTTGCTGTGGTCAGCTGTCTGCAGCAGCATGTAAAGCACTGGCTGTGACAGCTCTGTGACAAGTGAAACTGCACTTTAGTTTGTTTATCTGGTAGCCTGCAGTGACGGGTCCATGTGCAATCAGACCACTAGTTATTTTTAGAGGTTGCACCGGTCGTTTACAAGGACAATCACAATCTGTCCTCTCAATAATTTGATACTCTAGTGACATGCAGTGTGGCGCAATCTGAAATCACAAATATGGCAAACACAAAAGTGTCGCAGTGTACAAACACACTTGGGGTCTGTATCACAAAGCCAGTTTAAATTATTCTGATAAGCTGACATTTAACAATGAAAACATATAACTTTAAATAGAGGAACACAGTATAGAGATATTCAAATAACTTCCCGATAATATAACTAATGTGTTTAGACAAACAGAATTACCACAAAGTGAAGTCTTTTTAATGTGTTTGGCATTTTCAACACGAGCGGTTATAAACTGATAAACGTTAAAAACAGTTAAAAGTTAAGGAAGGCTCGACCTGCCAATGCAGAGGGTGACCAGCACAGGTAGTCTGTGCTGAAAACCAAAACAGGTACGCGATAAAGCTGTAATGTTGCTTTTGTAATTAACTGAATTCATAAACAGCGTGCACAATTAATATTCCATTGTAATTAGTTATCGAACTTCAGTTTGTAGTAAAACCTTTTTTTATCTCTGACATAATTATCACCAAAAGTAAAAACGACTTATTATTCTTATTGCTCATCTCTTTAATGAAAACCTTTGCCGTCATTATGATCATGTGGGAGAAATGTCAGGCTGGCTTTGTTCCCATGTCCTTAAGTTAAATTGCTTTGGAGCCATTTAGCTGTACAGTTAGGATTAATGACACCTCGAAGAGACTTAACCTATTTCCTAAGAAGACGCCTTTCCAGGTGACCTTGTTTTGTGATACACACCCTTGATCTAATCTGGCAAGCAACACATTAGCTTTTACTGTGTTTGACAACGAGTAACAGTTAACTGGCAATACCTGTATGTAGCCAGGTGTTGGCTAGGAGTTATATCAGTATTTACGGAGCCTAAATGAAGCTGTGCAGTAAGACAGGAGAACTACAAGTTAAACTCTACATATTCTTATATTTTGTAATCAGTGTAATTACATTTACATTTTTCAATAATTTAACTGAGTGCTGTTAAACCGTTATACTTTTCTCTCCCTCACACTCGCTTCAGATCGTGTCCAGTTTCAAAGCCACCACCGGCTCCCGGGCTTTGTGCCAGCTGCTCAAGGAGTATGTGGGCCATCGCGATGGGATCTGGGACCTCAGTGTCACCCGAACTCAGCCAGTGGTGCTGGGCACTGCCTCTGCAGGTAGAAAAAAAAAGTCCCTTCACAGACTATATAAATCAATCATGATAGCTTTGTTGTACACACAGGCAGCATGTGGCACCCTAGTTTTAAATAAGAATAAATAGCAAAGACTAAAGGTGCTGCAAGCAATATTTGCATCATTATATCTTTGTCAAATTAATTGTGATGCCTCGGTGCAATTAGCAGAAAATGAGAACATACTTAAGATGATTGATTACATCTGGTGATGCAGCGCAAGTAGTGTTTTAGTATCAATATTTATCCAAACCAGTCCTTCAGAAACAACATGTTGGCCTCGTTTTATCTTTAAGCAAGCTCGTTAAACAATCCAGAAATTTCTTACCACATCCACTCAGACTATACAGCCCATTACATAAAGGCAGGATCATACAGCGTGAAACCATTAGCTGGTTACTGTAAAAATGGAAATGGCTGCATGTTGTTTATACCTGCTCTCTCTTAACAGACCACTCAGCGCTGCTGTGGAGTATAGAGACGGGCAAATGTCTGCTGAGGTATGCTGGCCATGCAGGATCAGGTAATCGCAGCCAAAAGCTTTATTTGTCTACAGACATTCACAAAGTCCGTACACAAAAATTATTCTAAATCGTTTATATTTTTTCTAATAGAATGTTTTAATAGCCTGTCTGAGTGCTTATAACAATATTTAGTGTGACGTACAGCCTGTCGTGCGACATCTCTTGTTAATAAACACTGGCTCATGGCAGAAGCATTTCGAAGCGTATTCTTAGATGTAACACTGTCTGTCAACATTTGCTTACACGGCTTGTTAGATGACGTCTCTTCATTGTTCCCTTTGCACAGTCAACTCCATCAAATTCCACCCCACAGAGCAGATGGCACTCACAGGTAAGCATTTGAATGCATGTTTGACTTGTCAAGTCGACTACGTTAAATATAGCATCTGTTTCAACAGGTTTGTTCTCCTTGTCGTCGTTTCAACCGTTTTCTGCTGCATCTGTTGCCTCCAGCAGTCACTCGTGTGTAGATGTGAGCTGTGCTCTTTGTTGATTTGTACTTTCCACAGCCTCTGGGGACCAGACGGCTCACATCTGGCGGTACATGGTGCAGCTTCCAGCCCCACAGCCACCACCAGATGTCAGTGTGAGTAGCTTTGAACTTGTTCTCTTCCCAGTGTTTCTACAATAGGTCACTTTACTCTCAAATGAATCAAACCAAAACAAGACAGGAGCTCGACTGAGCTTTTGTTTTGCGTCTTTCACAGGCTCCGTGCGATGAAGACCAGGATTCTTCGGACAGAGAGGAAGGCGAGGTGGATGGCGAGGGCCCTTGTGAAGTGCCCACGGTCCGGGTTGCTACTGCAACACTCAAGAGCCACCAGGGCGTCGTAATAGCAGCTGATTGGTTAGTGGGAGGCCGACAAGTGGTGACAGCTTCCTGGGATCGTGCTGCCAACCTGTACGAGGTTGAGACTTCTGAACTGGTTCACACGCTCACTGGTATGTAATGGCAGAGGAGTCGTAAACAGAAGTCAGGGTTTTTGTTATTTTTCTTCCTCATTAGTGTACTTTGTATGACACTCTACAGTTCAACCAGACTGTTATTAAAGGTCAAATATGAAACTACAGACATTTTATCTTGATGCATGCTCACTCATCCAGATAAGGAAATCCCAGAAAGTTGATTCTGTTCATCTGGACGTAGAGTTTTCAGTGGGAAAAACCACTCATCCAAGTGACTTCTTCAGTCTCAGCTGGCTGCAGGTTTCCCCAACCTTATAAACAGTACATTTGCACAATGACTGAAACTAGCACCACTGATGAACTATGGGCTGTGAGGTCGGTCATTAATGTGCAAAATCTCATAACCACTGATCAACAAGCACTGATCAATGACCATGAGTACCATTCACAGAGAGTTGGGGAGTGGCTGCAATCACAGCATTGTAGGATGGTAAAAAATGTACCCTTAGGCCCCCTCCTTGATTCAGAGATGGTCTTTCCCTTTTCCTTGACTCCTCGCTCGAACCAGCGTTCCTCCCTGTCCAGGATGTTACATCCTCATCACTAAAAGAGTGTCCACTCGCCTGTAGGTGTAAATAGACTGCAGAGTCCTGGCCTGACGAGGTAGCTCTTCTGTGTTGTTCCATCTACTTAGCCAGAGGTTGTTTGGTTTCCCCGATGTATAAATTATGGCAATCCTCCTGGCACTTAACAGCGTACACTGTGTTACTCTGTTCCGATCCTTGGGGTTGACCTGTTTTTGGTGCAGCGTGTTTTGGGGTTTGAAAGCCACAGAGACAGGGTGTTTAGAGAAAATGTGTTTCAGCTGTTCCAGTACTGCTGACACATACGGGATCACTACAGGTTTTTGCTCAGGCAGCAGTTGTCCTTTTCTCCTGGATTGGCTGGAGTGATAGAGCAGTGACAAAATGTTCTCATGATAGTCTTTCTGGTTTAGCAAAACCGTGCACCTACCCTTGTCTGCTGGACAGGTGATAATGTTGTCATCACTAAGCAATGTGAGTGCCTTCCTCTCCTCCATGCTGATGTTTGATGTTGGGTACAGGCATTATAAAATCCATGTAGTTTGTGGAGCCAGCTTGCTTCTTTCAGTGTTTCTCAAACTCTTTTTTAAAAGCTGCCAACTTAAAACTTTTAAAAAGTCATTATTAATACTAAACGATCCAGGTTGAATTTTACTAAAAAGGTCAGTGCAATAGCACCAACAAGCTTTCTTCTTTTCCATGAAATCACATTCAGCCTCATATTTTTCACCTTCTTGTCCACGCTCCACCTACACTGGTTTAATCCAAAGAAAATCTGACGTGTAAAGATCACACGCTGTTGTTTTTGTTGTTTTTTTATGTTGAGATTACTTAAAAAGGTGTGATTTTATGCAACACAATGTGCTGTGTGTGTGTGTTCAGGCCATGACCAGGAGCTGACTCACTGCTGTACCCACCCAACCCAGCGGCTGGTGGTCACTTCATCCAGAGACACCACCTTCAGACTGTGGGACTTCAGAGACCCATCCATCCACTCTGTCAACGTCTTCCAGGGACACACTGAGTGAGTCTTTCTCTCTCACCCGCGCTCCTCCTTCCTGGTTCCCTGACAGATACTTAAATGTGGGTGCAGTCTTTAATTTGCCCACAGGGTGGTGCTGTAGCATCTCACCTCCATAAATCCCTCCAACATTTTCTTTTTCCTTTTACATTAATTTACAGACCCTGTTGCTCTAAGCCAAATCCTCCACTTGCCTCTCATTCATTACGGCGCACTTCTCCTCACTTCAACAGTTTGCTTCTCTTTCTCCTCTCTGCTCTTCGACTCTCGTTCTCCCTCCCTCTCCCGTTCATTTATCTGTCCGTTTCTGCGTTAATCCCCCCACTCTGTGTAATTTGGCACTTCGCTCGCTGTTAACACTCAATTGCAGCCGCTCATTTCAAAACGATGACTGTCAGGCTTGTCTGTGGCTTTCAATGGCAGTGCTCTTTAAAAGGCACAAGAAGTGCAAGTGTGTAAGTGTGTGTGTGGGTGGGTGTGTGTGTGTGTTTGTTTGTGTGTGTGTGTGTGTGTGTGTGTGTGTGTGTGTGTGTGTGTGTGTGTGCCTACATGCGTGTGCCGGCTGGCTGGCAGCCTTTGATTGCAAGTGGGGGGATTATGGCAGAGCTCATTATGTACGACCCCAACATGTATAATTCCCGCAGATCCCACTCTAATTCTCTCCCATAGACAATTGCTGTAATGAGATTAAGCACCAGTGTTTCACAGTTAACAACAGCCCTCCTCCCCTCCTTTCCTTCCCTCCATCCTTATTTCCTTCACAGATGGCCACTTTCTTTGTGGCGCTGCATTTAAAGCAACAAGTAGACCTTCAGGCAGACATAATGATTCCCCAAACTTCTGCAGGCTCATTACAGGACTGCAAAAAGCCTAGTCTGTAATAGTATTTCTGCCACTTGACAGACGCAGTGTAAATAAGAATGCAGCTGAGCTGTTTTTCAAGTTGCTGATTAATAGTTTAGTTTTGTAAATATGTATAAATGGAAGACGATGCCCATCTCAGAAGAACACAACTTTAAAGTCTTCAGATGTCATGTTTTCACTCATGTGGTGTGCATCAGTGAGTTGAAAACCCAACAATACTAATTTAGCTGAGATGTAAACAAGTAACACAATGTAGACTTCAAAGATGAATTAATTGGTTTAGTTTGTTAAATGCTTGCAAATCCATTCTCGGCCTTTTGCTCAGTAATTATTAAATATATTTAGTCCTGTTGTTTACTTTATAAAGAACACGGTGACACTGCTGCCAAGTGCCTGGAAACATAATAAGACAGAATCTGATTAGATCTCAGTGTTGATATCTTGGTGATTTCGGTCCAACAAATATGCTAAAAAGTCCTAAATACTCGCTTTAATGGTTTGGAGGAGTAGTAAGCAGAAGAGGAGTTGACACAGGCGTACTCTGTTTATCAACTCATGGCTTTTGCTGTATGTTCGGGCGAGTAGGAGAGCATAATGGACTGGACGCTGGAAAGAAGCTCATTGACTCTGTGTGTGTTTTTACAGTTTCCCCACTTTACTACTTGTGAGGTATCCTTGTTTTAACAGTGCCTTAGAGCACTAACAGGTTGCCATTCCTCCTACTAATTCCCCAGGATCTCCAACATGACATAATGGTGTGGCATAAATGGCATAATCTCCGCGTCCCTCCTGTGGAAACATCAGAGAGAGTAGAGTGTGAATAGTTTAATAGGCAGACGAGGTTGAGAGCTAGAGGGGAGACAGCCTCTCGTTTTCACCGTCTTCACTGGCAATTACAGCTAACGCTCCCTGACAGCGAACCTTGGCAGCTAAAAGTGCCGCGCGCCCCCTCTGTCCCGCCACCCCCGCCGTAATTGCAGTGTAATGACAACTGCGCGTGAGCTAACAAAACGACCGAGAGCAAACGAGAAATGACAGCGGACTTGCTCTACAGACGGACTGCCATGTCACGTTTGTCTCTGCTGCCGTCGACGGCTTTCGGTGACATCTGATTGCAGTTTTGGAGAAATGCAACTCTGTACGTATGTGTGCTCGCGTGTGTCTGCATGCAGATGTGACATCCTGTCTCTGGAGGAATACAACAGCACTTACTGGGTTCTCAGCGACTGTCAGATCTGCAGCATGGCAAAATAACAGAGTGCTCTTAAACCTCTTAGTCGTCGCTACCTGAATATTTTCATTAACATTTTAGGCTTATGCTCTCACCCACTCAACAGTGAGCACATGTTAAGGTTCTTTGAGATTTCCATACATTTAAATGCAGTCGTTTAGACCAAAGCCTCAGTGCCAGAACAGAAATCCAGTCCACTTAACAGTTTTACGTAAGAAAAATTAACATGCAGTTTGGTGTCAATGTCAATAATACAAAGGAGTCTTACAAACTGTTATAATAAGTCTAGCCAGATCATTTTACACACTGCTTTCATGTGATATTTGCATTTATAATGCACAGAAAAATTTAACCCAGCAACACAAAGGCATTCAGAGTGCTGTTAAAAATGTCTTATATTTCGGGGAAGTAATTTCATTTGAAGATTGAGCCGAAGCTTCACGTGAAGACTAGCTGTAACTGTCCAAAGGGCTTTCTTTGTAGATGTTGAAGCTACAGGTGTGTCCTGGGCTGTGATGTCGCTTAAACGTATCACATGAGGCTGTCATAAAGTTTCTGTTTTGAAAAAGCACAGCCCCAAGAAAACACTCACCGAGTGGCTGTGCACCAGCAGATTGTAGCTTTCTGCCTTCTCGAGATTCACTCTTTCACACGAGTGAGTGACAGCGAGATAAAACGATGTATTGTAGGGTCTTTACCTTATAATGGAACGCACCGTGAAGTGACTGTTGTTGTGATTTGTTGCTGTAGAAATCAAATTGAAATGATCTGTTTTCTTTGTGAGAACAAGTTTGAGTTTCAGATCATCACAGTTGGTCAAAAGTTGGAAGTTTTGCATTGTTCGCATTTTCTTCACATCTTATATGAGTCATGACACCTATTGTTCAGGAGAATACTGCAGCCTGTACTCGCACGCTCAGTGCTGGTGTAAATCCTGCCGAACCGTGAACGGCCATCTCTCGCTTCTTCTCCAGCACCTAAAGTCTCACAGAGAGTCTCGACCTTGGCTGTCAGAGACACTGCAAAGCATTAAGTACTACAGAACACTCCCCTCCTTCCTCACACCCATTCTAAAAAACCCTTTAACCTTAATCAACCTTTTAATCAATTATCTCGTCTGATTACACTCCCCTCACACCTCCCACCTAACACACCTCCTATCTTTCCTCTTCGCTATCTCTCCCTGCTCTCCGTTTATTCCCAGGTGGGCTGTACCCTGCAATGTCAGAAGGTGCCTGTAACGATAGAGCAGTTTCTTTGAGCCGCAGCCTCCCTAATAGCACAAAGTTTAGTCCGCTAATTAGCCCTTAATGCCATGTCGATTTAAATTAAGCAGGAAGCCAGTTTTACCTAAAAAGATGGGATGTAGAACCCAAGATAGTGGTGTGTGTGTGTGTGTGTGTGTGTGTGTGTGTGTGTGTGTGTAAAGGCAACACGAACCTTAATAAAGAACGAGGAAGCCTATTCAGGCTTTTGGTTTTACTTACCTCCATGAATGAGTAGAATAGATTCAAAATGCTAAAGATCTGTTAAATGTATGGATAGGCCTGACCTTAGTCCTAAAGAGGAATCATGCCTGGCTGAATATAGGGGGGCGGAGGAAGGGATGGGTGTATGCACTGCTGCCTCCAGTGTGCCCAACATTCCTGTCAACAGGATCAACTAAATAAAGTACTGCCTGAATTTGAGCACACATTTGTTTTTGTTAACAATATGACAAAAGAACATTTAAGTTTTCAAACACATGGAGATTTCCACTATAAAGTCAAATGTTAACGAGTTATCGCGGATCTATATATATATATATATATACTGTATTGGTGTGGCTCCGTTGTATTGGATAAAAAACCATAACAATAAAACACTTGTGTATAGTTTAGGGCTGCCCAAGCATACATCGAAAGTGCTGCAAGTAATGGGTACTTGAGGTTGCCTCAAAAGGCTCTGAGAGGACGCGGTAAACAGACTGGTTCTTATATAGTGCTCGTGCACTCTACTTGAGTACTCAAAGAGCTTTATACATTCATACAAGCACTTTGCTCTACATTTCTAAGTGCTTCTGTCTAAAGTTCACGCTCTGATGAATGCATCAGGAGCAACCGTGTATTACACTTGCATGTATTATGTTATATGTATAATGTTCCCAAACTCCGGAGCATGTGTTTCATCACATTTAATCGTAAACTGAAAGAAAGAAAATGTGACTAAATGCCAATGCATCGAGAGGAAATCATCGTTCACAGCATCCTGATGGCTCAAACACGTTTGCTGGTGTGAATGTTTTCAAGTCATTATTTATCTCTTCACTTTGTCCCGACTGCCGCATCTCTGTGACATCCTCTGTGCACGAGTGAGATGCTGCCAACTTCAAGTGGCAAAATGACACTTTGTAAGGTTTTAACAATGCAGAGTCGCATCATAAACGAAGAAGCACACAGTGTCAGCTTTACAGTGTTGTACCTGACACACCCTCTGTGGCTCCAAGTGTCTTTGCACATCACCGTGACGCATGTGTGCGGCTCGTGTCATCTTTTATGTATTAACAATAATAGCACTGCCCTGTGGGAGGGGGTGACTAGTAACTTGTCACTCAGAAAACTTTCTTCTTTCCGTGACTGGTAGAGATGTGCAACTATGATCTCTGAAATAGAAAACCATACAGTAGCTCATTACCACCTCCGTTTGCTGCTTGCACGCTTTCGTGCGTAACAAGTGTGTAACGCTGTTGTGTGTGTTTGTCTTGCAGCACGGTGACGTCTGCGGTGTTCACAGTGGGTGACAATGTGGTTTCAGGAAGTGATGACCGTACTGTCAAGGTGTGGGATCTGAAGAACATGAGGTCGCCTATAGCAACCATCCGCACTGACTCAGCTGTGAACAGGTAGGTGACAGGAGGAGAGAAACTGTAGCACGCGGTGCTGCACGTCACAAACTATGGTGTTAAATTGATATGTTGGCTGGTTGAGCGCTCTGTCAGTGGTTGTCAACACTATAAATTAATTTAAAGTCGTAGATTGCTTTGAGGTTTATTTATTCAATATAAAGTATAAATTGAATTAAAATTTTACAAGTAATTAACTTAGGCTGATGTAGTTAAAGTCAGCATTTTGGGCATCAAATTTTCTTTGTGTATTATACTTTTCTTTATACTTTATGCTTAACAAATGTATTAGAAAACCACCCGATGTACGGTTTATGCAACCGCTGCTCTACATTAGAAGTGATGGTAACTACCAATACTTGTAATTACCAGCATGCGCAAGCTCTTTAGTCAAAATGATATTTTTAATGCTAAAATGTAATTACTGTTGTTATCCACGAAATTTGAAATTCACTGGGTTTCTTTTTTTAAAGCTGAAAAAAAGAATAAAGCGCACTGTTATTTTTGATTAAATGTCAAATCACAGTTATTCACTTGCATTCCTGAATAGAAAAATAAATTTTAGTTATTGAATGTTCTTGAGTGAGGTCGCAGATGCAAGTGGTGGAAATTAGTTTGATTCAAAGGGTAGCTGCAGATCATTTGAGAAGGACTTATAGTAGAGGTGCTGCTCCTCCACATCGAATAGCGCCAGTTGAGGTGGTTTAAGCAGGATGGTTCCAGATGCATCCTTGGCACGTTGTTTCGGGCATGTCCTGCTGGTAGGAGACCTCTCGTCTGAGCTGGAAGAGAGGGTGAGGGAATTCTGAGCTGCCCCCGTGACCTGAACCTGGATAAGCAGCAGAATGGATAGATGGATGAATGTTACACTTAATTAATTTTGGACTTCTCAGAGGAGTCCAGTGTTAAGTTTATATTGTTGGATTGTCATTTATGCTTAGAAATATATAATTGATTGCATATTGATTGGATGTCTGATCCTTAGCAGTCTGCAAAGACTGTGTGCCTTCCAGAGGGTTCTGGCATACATTTTTTTTTTTTTTATTAAATACTTGTGTTTTCTATTAGTGACTGGGGATCTAAAACAGTGTTTCCCAACCTTTTGGAGCCACAGCACATATTTCACATTAGAAAAATCACACCGCACACGACCAAACAAAAATGCCACAAAAAGCATATTGATCATTTTTCCCCACGCACCAGATATAGTGGAATTGGCTCGGTTTGTCCCCAGTGTACCTTTCTGTGCTTTCTTCTACTCATGCTTTTCTCCAGGAACCAGGTCAGACTGACTACTTTTTCTTTTCAAATAACTATCTATTGCAGTGGTTCTTAACCTTGTTGGAGGTACCGAACCCCACCAGTTTCATACGCGCATTCACTGAACTCCTCTTTAGTGAAAAATAAAATAGGATTTTTTTCAAACTCAAGACATACATATGTTTTTTACTGGTGCACAAAATGAGGCGTGCATATCACGGCGGAGGCTCTGCCGAACCCCTGAGACCGACTCACCAAACCCCTGGGGTTCGATCAAACCCAGGAACCACTGATCTATTGCTATTACGCGCTGTGTCGTCTCACAGCATGACTATTTTGTAATTGTTTTTCTTCATCTTCATCTTCTTCAGCAGGTAGTTGTAGTGCCCTCTAGTGGAAGAGAATGTAATTGTTAGAGTGCTAATCAGGTGGAACCAGATAATCTTCCGTGCTGCAGGACAGTGGTGGGGAAACACTGGTCTAATAAACTTGTTAAGCATTGTATGTACTGTTAAGGCAGTTAGATGTTCGTATTAACATGGTTATTGTTCCTTATCTTCATCTTCCTTTAAAGTGCACCACACCACCATTTACCAGACAAGATTGTGTCATCGTTGTGCTGCAAACAGAAAGTGAAAATGTGCTTCAGACGTGGCTAGATTTAAATTCTATTCTTTCAGTAAATCACTGACATAGAGTCGGCCCAGTCAATCAGGAGAACTCGGGTCAGCAGATAAACTCTGGCTCAAGTTTAAAGTGCGACTACATCTGATCTTTCAGGATCAGCGTCTCTGCCAACCAGAAGATCATTGCTCTGCCACACGACAATCGACAAGTACGCCTGTTTGACATGAGCGGGGTGAGGCTGGCCAGACTTCCACGCAGCAACAGAATGGTAAGAGCAGAATAACCTGGACGGGAAGGCGGTTGTTAGCTCAGCATCAGTTACCATAAACTAAAACGTGTGTGTGTGTGTGTGTGTGTGTGTGCAGGGTCACAGGCGAATGGTGTGCTGCACGGCGTGGAATGAAGAAAACCAGTCGTGCAACCTGTTCACGTGCGGCTTCGACCGGCAGGCTATCGGCTGGAACATCAACATCCCCGCCCTGCTGCAGGAGAAGTGATCAGAGTCCCTCCGTGTATAGACGGCGCAGCACACGTCTGCACTGTAACCCGTGGCCTCGCACACGCGCGTTTCCTCTGTCGAGCAGTTTGCTTGTCGTGTGCTTCGCAGCTTTCCAGCAGTGAGCTCCAAGTTCAGACAATAATTGCTCCTCAGTTACTCTCACATAAAAGCCTTTTCATGTCATCTGAACACGCGTGTACGAGGCCACACAGCCGACCTTCTGCGTCTGACCCTTCACTTATTTAGCATGGATCGTGAATTGTGACAAGGCTCGTCCGATCTGTCCGCCCCCAGCCTCCTCTATATATTTCTGACCCGTGTGCCGCGGGGCTGCCGATCACGGCACTGTTGTTTAGTTACTGCTGAATCGTCGCTCTTGCATGTAGATAAACTCAGTTTGCAAATGTTACTTGTAAAGTCACAAGAGAATAGAACCGTTTGTAGAATACGATGTGTAAATAATATATTGTGGCCTGTTTAAAGTGACCTGTGTTGCAGGTTGTTGTTGTTAGCTAATGTGTCTTACAGTTTGGCAGAGACAGTTCTGTGATTCTTTTATTTTATTTTATCCTTTTGGTCAAATATTTGGAAGATTTCTTATCGGAACATATCACAAATCTCCGTCATATCACCTGTGCAGCGAGCGGGCTGCCGGGCCAGTCGGTGAGCGCTTCAAACGGCGTCTGAGGCGTTGTGGGAAACCTTTGACAGATTGAGATTCGCTCCCTTGCCTGTTACCTTTGATGCTTTCAGTTTCACAGCCAGCCTCCATATTTCCAGTATAGTTGAAACTGTAACTCTGCCTTGTTCTGTGTTTACAGTGGATTTTTATTTTTTTTTAAACATGTTGCTTTTTTCTGCCTTTTCTGTGAGGATGTAAAGTGTCAAGAGCATAGCAATAATGACTCTGTGAACGGGAATGTGTTGTGCATTATCATATTCCAGTATTCCCTACGTGCTGCTGGTGTCCATAAGCTCAGTATAGACTCGTCCTCTTTAGCTTGCTGCCAGCTCCTGAGCCCTGCGTTGCTGTACTGTGTGATCCTTAAGTGAACTTGTCAGGTCATTTCTGTGCTTCAGTAGCGCTCCTGTCAACATGCTCTCGCAGTTTGTGTTGAGCCCTCAGTCTTCTATAACTTCCTGCATCTTTGTCGCTGGCGGCGCTTTTACTCTCTGCACGGAGCGCTCTTTATCCAAAAACAGAAGCAATAACCCAGCTTGACTTGATGTTTCTGGTGCTCGGAGTGAAGTCCGGGTCTTTCTTTTTTGTTTTCTTCCATTTTGAAATCAGTGACTATAACTTGAAATACACACTGAATCTCAGCTTGACTTCTGACTTGCCTAGAAATAGGCTTAACTGGATTCCAGGAAGCTTCAATTGTTACACTTGTGCAATATTTTAAACATGAAGTCATGCTGTAGTTTCTCACACGTTTAATCGACTTCAGTGCTGTAAAACCCACACAAAAGACTCTGTGTACCTGTGTGACTGCTGTAGCTGTAGCTCGGTGTATAAAGGTGACTTACTGAAAAATCTGGCTTCAGACTTCACTGCTGTTTCTACCCACAACACAAACGGGATGCATTCTGAAGTAGCATGAATCTGAAAGTGTAATAATCTTATTGAAATGCCTTACATTGCATTGAGGAGAAAAAACCCGGTGCATGGGCCTTATCCATCCAAGCATCAGTGCACTTTTCCAAATGCTTGTTAAAGAACTAATTGTGTTCCCGAGCACAGCAAAGATAGGATTTTTATTCCTGTTTCATTCAGGGAACTCAATTTGGCGCCCACCGGTATCAATGTCATTTTAATCTGCAGGTAGAACGGCACGGCCCGATTCGTGCCCCGCTTATGAATTTCAACCTGGAGGAAATATGATTTTGGATTGATACATTAAATTATTGCGTGCCAGGCTGTAGGGGTAAAAAAAAAAAAAAGAGTGGATGGGCTTTGCTTCACTGTAGCGAATCATATTCACCTCAAACTTCATTATGTGATCTACTTTGCATACTTTATTGTGACGGGTACGTGCTCTCTTGACACTTTCCAATAAAACGTGTGATTTCCTTTTTCCAGTCTCACATCTCTTTTTCATCCTATTCAAACACAAGTCCCTTGTTCCCTTTTGTTCACTTCAGATGTGTTTTTGAAAGGCGCACTTTATTCATCAGGTAGCTTCGAAAAACAATGTAAAACTGGTGTTGATGAGAACAGATTTAAGAGGTGTGTGGATTTAATGAGACTTTTAATTTGCTTGTTAACTCATTCTTAAAGGAAGCCACAGCGATGCACAGAGCAGGCATGCAGCTACTTTATTTCTTAGTGTTCAACTTCTTCTATTTCTCTTTTTCACTAATGTCCAAGAACATAAAGTGGATCCGTCTGCTTCTTTTGCTTCCCCAGCTCAACAAGGGGCTTGGCTCAGGATGCCCAGACACCACCTCCTTAACTATATAAAGAAAGAACCAATCAGGAGGCTAATGGAAATCAGAAAATGTTATCAGTGATAACACCAAAGCAAAAAAGCTTGGGATTTGATTAAAAATTCAACAAGTTATAATGATTTAAGTTAAGATTATATCTCCAACCAGTAACAATGTGGCAGCCTCTCTGAAGCACACAGTTCATAAATAAATATGTTTTCATCTACTGAGTTAAGACAACGTTCACCTTAACAAAGTAAATAATATTGGAAACCTGGAAAAGAGCATTTTTATGCTTGTGGGTCGCTCATCTTGAAATCAGTGATTTTCTGATTTGATCCCTGAAATAAAGTCTGTGGATAACACAAACTAAAAATTTTCATATGAAGCTTTCATATTTTTGTAGAAATTAAAGGTTGAGGTCGCGAGGCTGGTTTAGTAAGTCTGGGCAATAACACTTGAAAAAATAAAATAAAAGTGGCATCATTTTGTGAAGATTGTTTTTCTGAACTAAACAGGCAAGTGCGAAAAACTGGTTTCCCACATAGCTCGCAGACATTCATATCTGCAGTAGACTAAACTACTATGAGACACAGTTAGCTTAAAACACACCTCTGATCAGACACTTATTATGGTCTAGTGTTCAACTTGAAGAAATTAAGTTTGCACGGTTTCCACTGCTCACAAGTTCAGTTTCCTCTGTAATATTTGTTTCTTCATAAACGTTTCAGTGGATGATGTTACCGTTAGCTTTTGCCTCCGATGGTGGCGTAATGTCCCTCTAATCTGAAACTGTTGTAGACCATACCCCACTGGTGTAACCCTACATGATGACACAATATCATGTGTTCTGGTTCCTACATTTCACTGAGAAGCAGCATGAAACTGGGAGTCAGAATACGCTGTGGACCTTCACCTCTCCGTCCTCGTCCATTAGATTAGAGCTGCCTGGCTGTGACCAGCCGCTGGAGCAAATTGTCAATTACGATGTATATTGTTGAGCACACAGCCGACTCCGTGGCCTTAGGGGAAGGGGTGGAAGCTACTGAGGAGACATGCCTTAAACTCCCTGCGCCTCCCCCCTCTTCGTCCTCACTCGATTCTTCCTCCAGGCTAATTTTTGGTGGCTGGTCTGTGTGACACCTGCCACTGAGCTTAACAGAGATTAACCATTTCCCCATGGATTTCCCCTGGGAGATGCAGGAGAAGGGAGGCCTCTTTAATAATAGTCTGGATGCTCTGAGCCTCAGAATATGATGGCACAAAAAGGTGGCCATGAGAAAATGTGAACAGGCCAATATCAGTGCTCAGTATAGACCAAATATTCTCCATCTACCGGGTCAAACGTTCTCTTTCACCATGCAATCAAACTGACAGTGAATGTGACGAGAAAAAAACTTCAAAGACCAAAATAAAATTACAAGATTTTGAGGTTTTATTCACATATACAGTACAAACATTCACTTTGTATTTGTTACTGAAGTGCAATTTACAGACCTTAGCAGCAATTCTTCATAGACTTTAATTTACATCTTAATTAGACATTTTAGAATCTCTTTCACATCTTTGTCAACTTTGTCTTTTATACTTTTTCTATTTTTTTTTTACATATGTACACTGTTTGTAGAATATTGCCATTCAGACACAGCCTATATTTATTATATCTCTGAAAATAAATGTGTGAAAATCTGTGTGATGGCTGATGAAGCCACTATCGAACATGGTGCAGAAACGATGACAAACGTCGACAAAGCAAGTCTGAATATGTGGCTTCTCAGAAATTCAAATGTGCAGCGCGATGCGATGAAGGACCAACTCTGTTCTGACACACAGACGGCGTTTACACAAAATCCGAGATTTGAGTCTGCTGCATTTTTTAGCACAGGTAAGGTCTAACAACTGGAGTGCTCTCACTGAAACTCCCATTAGCCTAGCTTGGATTACCAATGTTGCATTAGCTACATTAAATGTGAGCGCATCGAAGAGGACCTCTTATGCTTTTCTGTAATGGATGTGGATACTTTTCTAGTGGTTGATGGTTGTATTAAACGTGGCCAAAGTTTTAAATACCAGGGTAAATAATCCCCGTGAGCCCAAAACCCAGGCTTCACACAGAGGCTCAATATCCTGAACATCGCTTTGTATAAAACTGTTTCAAACCTTCCAAATTGAACTTAAGACGAGACATTAAATGGAATCGAACTAGGGCCGAGCTGTACTTTAGTGCGATACTGATTTGTACCACAAGAAGGCGTCATGAGTAAATGTAGCCTTCATTTTACACGTTCTTCTTACCCCGCAGCTGTAAAAGGCTGATGACTGAGTATTGTTGTCACCCCATTGGCCGACATGGACCCCCAACTTTGTGAAGACAAGATGTCACCTACGATTTTCACTTGCTACCCGATAGTATCTGCTGAAATTCTTGGACAAGTTCGAATCTCAGTCCGGTCTTTAAGTCTGACGTCATTAGCCGTGTCTGGACCCAAACTCTGCTGCAGGTCCCGAAGTCAAACGATCACTGCAGCGTCACTCAGAGTTGAAAAACTGTCTAAATTCTTTCATCTCTAAGAAAATGATCAGCGTTCCTGCTCTACCAGGCGTAACAATTAAGTTTAACATCCAGGCATCCATGAAAACAGAATTTATGAAGTTTAATGGAGTTCAAAGTTAGCAGGAAGTTAGCTAGTTTCCATCTAAACATAATATAACATGTTCTGACAACATTTCTGAAACAAATTAAGACGTACAGCTCTGCTATCACTTCCCACATAAATGAAGACAGGAAAGCAAACAGCAGTGATGTTTGTAGGGTTGTGCTAGCTGGTATATAATGATATGCTACGTGATCGCTAGCGACACAGCTACGTTAGCAGAATATAAACAGGGAATCTGGAGGATGAACGCTAACGAACGGAGAACTTTTTTCCACTCGATAAAAGTTAACTTGAGTGTTCACAGTGGTTAGGGACAAATGCAATCACATGACAGGATGCTGCAAACAGGATGCTGCAAACGGACCAAACGTCAGTCAGGAGAACCACCGAGATAATCCATCAATAGGAGGCTAGTCATTCATATACTGCTGCATGGGCTGGGCTGTAGTTGCATCATAAGGTTTTGAAAACGGCGCTTTAAAATGATTAGCAGTAATAAAAACCGAGAGAGGCACAACAGCCTTATTAAATGCAGAGTAGTTTGGGCCCAGAAGCAGGGTTCATCACGCCATCACTTAAAGACTGGATGACCTCGACCTCAACGTCAAGGTCAGAGGTCAAGTTTTCTGAAAATCTTGTTAACGTGATAACTTGAGAAGGAAGTTACCTATGATTGGAGCAGTTTGAGGATATGGGTGTAGCCAGAAGGACAAGCTAAACATCAGCATGCATCTGAAACACCTCAGCACAGCCTGGGGGAAATCGCTGCCCCCTGGGGGTGAAAACTCAGCTTCAATTCTGCAGAGGGTATTTCCAAAAAGGAGCTTTAACGAGAGAGGAGGTAGAATGGCTTATTTCAGATAACAACGGGCTGCACTTAGTCCCAGTTTAAGATAAAGATAGAATGGTGTGGCTAATGCAAAGCAAGAATAAAAATACAGAAATGAGCGTAACAGGTCCATATGAAGTTGAATCTATTAAAATTGCCATTACTAAAGCTGGATTTATACACAATGACACAGTTTCCACTCATATTAAGACTTAAAATTTGTCAAGAAACTTTTTTAAAAAACCCGGTGCATTCTTCTAGCTTACGGTAACTTTGCCTTCTCTAACATGTAAACACACATCTGGGGCCTCACGGGGACTGCAGGAAGCGCGACTGACGGTCTGCGTTTTCTCACCGTTTGGACAACAGCAAGGATGAATGGCCTCCTTCTTAAACACCTAACAAGGCGATTATGCTGCTCACAACAACGGCTGCCAGCATGAATGAAAGGATGTGAATACAGTGACTCCACAGAGGTGGTGGTCACTAAGAGTCACCTATAGACGGCAGCTCCAGTGCTATTAATCTTCATCACAAAGTCCAATCACAACAACACCCAGTCACTCAGTGCTGCACAGGTGATCATAATGTCATTATGGATACGATCATAATAAATCCAGGTTTAGGGAGCAACATAAACCCTGAGGCCTGGTCTCTCAGGCAGGGGTGCATAATTAGGTAAAAGGGGATGACACACAGTGTGTTTGAGTGCAAACTGCCCAGTTTTTAAGCATTTTGTTAAAAACATTTTTATGTGGAGAATCACTTCTGCAGCTTTTTAAAATTTCAAATGTAAGAAGAAACTCTTCCACATGCAGTTTTTGTGTAAAGCCGCCCGTGTGTCCAGTCGTCTGATCTCCAGTAAAGGCTTAGCTCTCCAGCTGTGACACTGTAATGCTGCCAGGACAGGGGCTCACAGCAGGGGCAGGACAAAACACAAGAGCGACCACTAGATGTCACTCTCACTACTCTGAACTGGGCCGCACCGCTACCTTGACTAGAGACAAAAACGGCAATGACAGAGCAATACGAAGACTATAAACATTTAACTGATTTAAAAGGACAAAAAAAGGAAAAAAAATCACGTAAAATGCTGCGTTCATGAAATATGCAAAGACATAAAATAGTGTGAGGTGCAAATTTACAAAAAGAAACAAAACAAACTTCACTCCAAGGTGGTCATGACCACAGAATGACAGCTTGCTCGGGGCATCAAGGCTGATGACTCGCCTCCATAAGCAGCTGCTATTGGTGGCGACAAGATTAGCGATTAAGATGCGTGGAAACGGGCATGAAACCAGGTGGAAAAAAACAAAACAAAACAAAAACTCAGGTCAGGCAGGTCAAAAGACAAAAGGAGGAGAGTAAATACACCACTCCCCCTTCTCCTCCATCACTCCACGCACTCAGGGCGAACTGTAATGGCTGCGTTTATGTACCTCGCTTTCTCTTTTTACCCAGAGGGGTGAAGATGAGAGGAAGGGAGGGATGGGGGAAAAAAAGGGTGGTGTATTAACCTGTCCTCGTGTCATGTTAAACTCCAAGCGTGGCGGGGAGAGGTGAGGAGAGGAGGACGAGGAGGTGGAGGCAAGGGAGGAGACAGAAAAGAGGGCAAAGGAGGGAGCGACGGAGAGTCAAAGGGTGAGTTAAGAGGAGGAGGACAGAGATAGAACGAGGAAGAGAGAGAAAGGTGAGCTCTGAAGCGACGCTCCGTCCTTCTTTTTCCTCACTCGTTCTTCCCTTCCTCTTTCTCTATCACCCGTCACTCTGACAGGGCCGGTAATTGGACGAGGACCTCTCCCTCTCTTTTTTCCCTCTGCTTCTGTCTGTCTCGCTCTCTCCCCCGTGGCTCTACTCCTCAGCGGGAGCCTTGGGGCCCGGAAATAGCTGATGACAAGATAGTGGCTGCCTTTCATCCCCGCTCAAGGTTACCCCACCCTTCCCTGACAGCCACAGAAGAGCTTGGGGGTGGTGGTGGTGGAAGGGGGGGTCACATTTAGGTGGGTGTTTGCTTAAACTCGTGTGTTTGTGTGCTTAAAGAACACCAACTCCACCCTCGTGTCCTGTTTCTTTTCAGACGTCCAGTCAACCTTCCGCCTGCCGTCCTGGGTGTACGTGGAGAATGAAATGCAGACACACACACACATGCTGGGCTGACAGCCTTGAGTTTAGAGGTTAAACTGGGTTGTGAAACATAGACTCATTGGACCCTAAAATAAAAGAGATGCTTAAACAAACACACCATCACACACTCTCTCTCTCACTCAGTCCGACAGCAGGAACTGCTCCTGCTCTGGGGGTTTTTTGACCCAGGTGCCGAGGCCCATTTCCTGCAGAGACCTGAACCACTGCTGCTTCGCTGTCTGGTAAGGGCGCGCCGCCATCTTGGCCTCGCCGTACATGAGCTGGCGGTCCGCCGAGCTGGACGCGTGGATCCCCAACTGAAGAGGGCGAGGATGACCGGGAGAGAAAGCGATGGGTGGAGAGGGGAAACAAACACAAGAAGAGAGAAATTGAGAGTCAGATAAGAGCGGAGTCAGACGTGAAGACGGGGATGGAGAACAGAAAGAGAGAGAGAAATAAAGCCGGGGCAGAGGGGCGAAAGGTTTAGCGAGCAAAACAAAGCGAATGAGCCGGCACAAATGCATTTGGGTGGGGGCTGGGAGCAGGCGCAGGGTGGAGGGGGGCTTCAACAGCTGTGTAATCTCCCCATTTAAATTTCACAAGCAATTGAACATTCTCTGTGCTTTTTGTGCATTCCTATTGTCACGAGGAAGGGTGGGGGGGGGGCAATGAAGATCGGCAGGGAGACAAGTGGGGAGAGAGAGAGGGAGAGAGCAAAAGTTTGTTTTGGAGATTAGTGCGACTGCTCTTGCGTGGCCCCTTATATGCGGCGCGCAGGGAGCACTTAGGGTGGGGGCCTCCTCGAGTACTTCTCCAAATAATTATGGTTTCATAGTCATTATGCTTTAACGGCCGCCATTTGGCGATGCAGGCAGTGTCTGTTACGTAAAGTTTCAGAATGGAAATGAGAGTGCGGCGGGTAAAGATCCGAGCTGTCAGTTCTTTGATAAGCCGCACAGACAGCAGATGTTGCCAGGCAGACAAATGTATCTACGGCAGAGAGGAGATTCCACATTTCCACTGCACACAGCTCTCTGCTTCTACGCGTGTCTGTGCCTTTTGACTGCTGGCATGCATCACTGTAGTTAATGCTTGTGTGTAGCGGCTGTGCTCACGGGATTCCTAATAGCAGTGGATTCCATATTGTTTCCAGCAATAACTGAGCGATGCCTTTGGCTTTGCTGCACGAGAGCACTTGCAGGGCACAGAGCGCTGAAACTTGTAAGATGTGATTATTGTTCAGCCTTATATTAATTAAATAGGACATCGTAATATTTTTCTGGGAACTAAAAGATACAATGTGGGCAGTGTTTTGTTTATTTTTAATTCACTTTTCATTTGGTGGAACTTTATCCACAGCAGACATTTCTGCACATCATAGCAAACAAAAGAACGGTGTAATTATTAGTGTGACGGGCGCCGCGTTCCGTTTAGGCGTTTTCTCTAAAACATCGAGTCTAAATGTTTGCTGTGAGAAAGTCCTGCAGAAGGAGTCAGTGATTCTGATGAATCGAATAAAACTGCAGTTAACTAAGCTCATCTGGAGGTCACTGCAGTTTCTCAAATGCCCACTTGAGGCTCGAGCTGAGAGTGAACGCTCAACTTTACAAAAGGAAATAAACAGGTTTCAAACTGAAACAAGAAAAATTATTTTTGTGTTTATTGCTAATTTATGTCTTCATAGCAACCCTGAGGTAGCTTATATATATCTCATTGTATTAACTGTATCAAGGCTCAAAGAAATACTTTATTGCACTGCAGGAGCTGTCTGCTAGGCAGATGATCTGACACTGATCTGGACTGATGTGGTGCTTGTCAAGTAGTTAACGAGCCCGTCATAACTTAAAGACCTTCTAGTACCTTATTATGCTAGTAGAGCACTTCACTCTCTGACTGCAGTCTTACTTGTGGTTCCTCTGGTATTTAAACGTAGAATGGGAGGCAGAGCCTTCGTCTTTCAGGCTCCTCCTCTGTGAAACCAGCTCCCAGTTTGGATTCAGGAGACAGACAGCCTCTCTACTTTTAAGATCTGGCTTGAAACTTTCCTTTTAGATAAAGCTTATAGTTAGGGCTGGCTCAGGTGACCCTGAATCCCCCTTAGTTATGCTGCGATGGGCCCAGGCTCATGCAAGTATTTCTTCTTTGCATTCGGTTACAGCAGATGGCCCCGCCCCTCCCTGATCCTGGTCCCTCTGTGGAGGTTTCTTCCTGTTAAAAGGGAGTTTTTCCTTCCTGCGATTGCTAAGTGCTTGGTCATAGGGGGTTTGTCTGATTGTTGTTGTTTTTTTAATATTATATTGTATTTTGTAGGGCATTTACTATATAAAGGGCCTCGAGGTGACTGTTGTTGTGAATTGGTGTCATAAGGTCTCAGCCACTTGACCTTCGCCACAGGTGCCTTCCCTCACCTTGCGGTACAGTCTGTTCCAGCGGGTGAACAGGGCGTGCTTGCAGAGACGTGAGGGTGTCCCTGAGTCTCGTCTCCGTCCAGTTGCGGTGTTGACCACCTCCAACTGTGCGTCACCCAACGTCCAGTTGACGCTCACACACGACGCCTTCCCCGGCTGCTGATAATCGGCACTGCTCAAGCCTATGTGGAAGACAAGAAAATACAAATGACATCATGACATGTCACATGGTTTTGTGAGTGAAATTTTGCATCTGTATGTTTTCTGAACCTCTGCTTTGTTATTTGGTTTAACCTTCTGCCACCCTCGCCTCACTCTGAGGCTGGAAGACATACAGGTTTGCAGGGATGCACAAAAACGATACGATGGCTATGTAAGTATTATAGTTTTGATACACCTTTAGAGAGCAGGTTGGAAAAGGAATGAAGCACATAAGCAATGTCTTTTTATGCTGTAAATATCATCTCCACACTCTGAGATCGACTGCTGCCTACACTGGACTGTCACTCTGTTCTCCACTCTCTACATTTCTTTTTGAAATAATTAGCCTCGCAGCAAAGCACACAAAGTGATCAGCAGAGGAAAGTGAAAGAGAGACAGCGGTAGAAGGAAAGTGGAGGTGAGCGGCGATCACACGGCCTCCGTGGAGAGAATTAGCCGCCTGCACTGAGAACACAGGCGCTGGCAGAGGTGCTGGGCCTGTGGCGGGAACAGAGCTGACAGCAGGGTGAGGAGCAAATGAGGGCTCAAGGCAAAATGTTCCTGAGAGGCCAGCGTGGGCGTTTCATAGAAGCTGCATAGGAGTTTGGATTCGCACCCGATTGTACAGCCTGAAGCAGGAGAAAATGTTGAATCTAAGCGGCACTTTCTGGGGCAGAAAATGTAACAAATATGGAGTGCCAAACTCTGCGTTTCTTCAAAAGGCCACTTGAGGCTGGATACAAAAAGCAAGTCAATCCCCAGAGACTTCCAAGTTAAAATGCCAATTTTTACTGCAGAAATAACTATATTTAAACCCTGGTACAAGAAAAATTTTGATCTCTATTGCTAATATGCCTTTCACACAGTACGGGTGTGGATTGCTTTACAACTTAACCATTAAATTATCTCATGTATTAAAGATTTGCAGAGGGTGTCAAATTCTCACCACTAGATGTCAGTAGATTGCAGATTGCAGTTAACTGAGTTCTGTTTTTGTACCCCTAGCTGCTATGTTTCAGTCGGCCAAAAGAGATCAAAACTATATTTAGATTATTCCACATAATAGTTGTGGCCAGTCGGCATATTTCTACCAGCCTACCGATCAAATCCAGTTCTAAGGAACACTTCCAGCCTGCTGTTTACCTCAGCTGTCAATGCAGAGTGAGAAGTGTCCACCTTTATTTACTCTGGAAGAGGCTGTAAAACTTTCTGAAAGGATCCGATACAGATCAATGAGCCGGAGAAGCTCTCTTTTGATCGATGACAGTCATACTGAAGTGAGTTGTTAGGTAGCAGTGTTGTTTTTGCTGCCGTTGGCTGCAGTTCGTTCATGAAACTTTCTCAGAAGTAGATGTAACAGTTTGACTGAGGCATTTAGCAAATAAATCCTCCTACAATGTGAGAATATAAACAAAATGTTTATCAGAAGGAAAGAAAAGGATACTCAGGTCTAATGTTAGCTGGCATAATGTTAGCTTACAACCAGTTGTTGTAGCCTGCTCTTCCCATTTAACTCTTTCCAAGAGTTGGGAGTTCGCCTTGTAATCGGAAGGTTGCTGGTTCGAGCCCCAGCTTGGACAGTCTCAGTCGTTGTGTTCTTGGGCAAGACACTTCACCTGTTGCCTACTGGTGGTGGTCAGAGGGCCTGGTAGCGGCAGTGTCCGGCAGCTTCGCCTCTATCAGTGCGCCCCAGGGCGGCTGTGGCTACAATGTAGCTGCCATCACCTGTGTGTGAATGAGTGGGTGACTGGATGTGTAAAGCACTTTGGGTTCCTTAGGGACTAGTAAAGCGCTATACAAATACAGGCCATTTACCATTTTAATTAGCACTTATCCATGTCTGACCGACGCACCCACACAGTTCACAGATGTGAACCAAACTAATTTGTAGTAGCTGATAAATTTGTACTCCAAACACGGTCCATTCTGCCTCTGAAAACCGACATGACAAAGGCCAACATGCCAAATGCGAGACCTCACATTGTTGGTCCACAAACAAATGGGTGCCTCAGCCATCTGTCATACACAGTCTGTGGTTAAATCACATAGGACAAATGCCTCCTAGAACTAAATTTTGATTGTATATTTGTATGTACACTAATTGAGATCATGTGTTATCCATTCATAACTGCTGTATTTTATGTAAAGCTACCTTTAAAGAACTGGAAGGCTTTTCTGGACTACTACAGAAGCATACTGGGCCCACTCCCTATGTAGATAGAAGAGATGTACTTAGAGGCGATTATATGCTAATGAAAAATAAAATCAATGCTGTATTACTTTTCTAGGAATAGAGCCCTGTAAATTCTGCACACTGGAGCATTAATAATCACAGCTATAAGAATCGCTTCTTTGATTCCAGCTTGAGTTATTTATTACATCATGCAACATTAAAGGCTCCCCTTATAGAAAATCAACGTCTCTGTGACGGCTGAATAACAGTTGCTTCTGATCTCATCGCCTGACAGACAGCTTGTTATATTACAATACCAGATCTACAATACCACAATACATGCCTGCAGATCATTTCCTCCTTTTCCACACTGATTTTCCTGTCTTCACTCTTCCATTTACCAATCTCACCTCTCCTTTTCTGTTGCTCCTTGGAGCTGGAATGAATCGCCTGCCACGGTAACAATCCTCCGTGTCTCTTATGTATTACCCATCTCTTCTCTCTTGTGCAGACGCACCTCTTTGAACAAAAGACCCTCCTATCCATCCTGCTTTTTTCCACTCCTCTCGCTCCATTCATGGCTCATTTCTTCCCTTCAATGGGCTTGACTCCTCTGTTTCTGTAATAGCCAATTTGATGTTTCCTCCATTGAGGACTTGATCAATTTCTCTTCTGGGAAGTGTTTGGCAGACATGAAAAAGGCAGAATTAAAGCCTTTGGTTATGGGATTCAGAACTGTACAGTACACACAGGAGCAGCTTAATATCTGAGGCTGCTGTGCGTTCATGTGTACACAGTGCATCTATCCTGCATTATTGTAGTACTGCAGGGCTGTAAATGTGTGCCTTGTTGGGTGGAGAAGAAGTGGAGGAGAAGTGAAGCAACAGGTATGTGAAAAGAGGAACTTACTCATTTTCTGTGTCAACGACTGGATTATAAATGAACAGTTGCTGGCTCAAATCCTTTAAAACACTTTCTATAAACATAATTTAAAGACCAGATTTTAAAGAAAGGTAAGCCAAGAAAAGGGAAAATGCAGATTTTAAATTGATTTCATTCATTAAGGAAAAAAAGCTATCAAACTCTATTTGCCCCTATGTGAAAAAGTAACAGTCCCCCTTGTTAACTTATGAATTCACTGTGATTAACCACATTTTTTGGAAAGCTGAGTTCAGTTTACTAGCCACACCCAGGCCTGAGCACTCGTTGACCTGTTGGATCAGGAAATCCTTTAAATAGAAAGTCTTCGTAGCGAAGTAGATTAAAATATCTCAAAAGTCAACACAACATGCCAAAATCTAAAGCAACTCAAGAACAGCAGAGTCAGTCTGGAAAGGGTTACAAAGGCATTTTAGGACTTTGGAACTCCAGCAAATCAAGGCTGGAGGAAAACTGGGGAAACCTACGAACAGCTGGAGTGGCCTAGTCAAAGTTTGGACATAAATCCAATTGAGATACTTATGCATGACCTTAAACAGGGATTCATGCTTGAAACCCCTCGAGTGTGGTTAAAGACCTGCAAAAAGACCAACCATGGTACATGGCCACCTTCATTGGCGTCTTAGTGTGGTAAAGTAAGCAAAAAATCAGCCCCAAAGCATTATGTTTCCATCTCCCTGCTTGACTGTGGGGACGGTGCTCTTTGGGTCACACACAGCATTTCCCTTCCTCTAAAAATGAGACATCAAGTTGACATCAAAGAGCTTGATTTTGTTTTATTTGATCCCTGCAATTTCTCCTAAGCCTTCTCATTTAGATGTTTACTGGCAAACTTAAGACAGGCATGTACATTTGCCTACTTAAGCAGGGGGACCTTGTAGGCACTGCAAAATTTCAGTCCATTATGGTGCAGTAGGTTACCAATGTGGTTCTTGGTGATTGGGGTCTCAGCTGAGGATCTGTCACCTTTCTTATGATCATCCCATGAACCATCATCTTTCAATTTCTTCCATTGCCGAATGAACACACCAGGAGTTGTCACCTTGTTACCAAACTTCGTGCTGATGGTTCTAGGTTCTAGGTTCTTTCTAGGTTCTTTGATGATCTTGTAGCTCAGTCCAGCCTGTGCAGATCTGCAGTCACTGATGTCTTTCGACAGCTCTTTGGTCTTGTCCATGGTGGTGGAGAAGATGGAATGGAAGAAATTGATACTGTAGACAGCTGAGCTTTATGCAAATAATGAGCTGAGATCAGGAGCATCTGTGATTGATTGACTGATTGATTGATTGATTGATTGATTGATTGATTGATTGATTGACTGACTGATTGACTGACTGATTGATTGACTGATTGATTGATTGATTGATTGATTGATTGATTGATTGATTGATTGATTGATTGATTGATTGATTGACTGTGTGCCACATGGACATATAGCCAATCTGTGGAAGCCAGAATAGTAGCTGGGTTGTCAGAAATCAAATACTTATTTGACTCAATGACATGCAGATTAATTTATAATTTTTATGTAATGTTTCTATTTTTTAAATAAACAGATTTAGGTTGATATTCTGTCTCTTAATTTCTTTCCCCAAAAAATAATAATAAAAAATAGTAACTGATCATTTTATTGTAAGTGAGCAAACTTATAAATTCAGCAGAGGATCAAATGTTTAACAGCACCACTGATGGACTGCCGATGATTACTTGATGTTAATATGTAATGAGTAACTGATTACATTTTTCAAGTAACTTTCCTCACAGTGACATCATCTTAATGCAAATATGTATCAGACCTCAGAACAGCAAAAGCTAAAATACGAATTTCAACACGTGGAGAAAAGAGGGTGTAGCTGTAAAACATGCATGTGCACCGATCTATCTGCAAAGCTCCAAACGTGGAGCACGAACATTATTAATGTTTCCTTTATCTGCTGTTGTTCCGATTCCTCTTATCCCAAAACAACAAAGCCCCGCCACAGTTTGCGTTCGCTCAACAGCAGGACGAGGAGTGAAGGACAAGTCGGTCCATCGATGCGTTTGGCCCTCAGGGTTCAGGTGGAGCCGCTTTGGCTGTGTGTGATAAGAACGGGCCCTGCGATCCCCAGGAATTTCTTCTGGGGGTGTCGCTTTTAAATAACCCTGGACTCACAATAGCCTGGGAGCTCATCAGAGGCAATGAAAGGCTGGCGGAGGAGATGAGAGGAATGGGAGGGGGCGATACACGTGCAGTCATCTGAATGCGAGCGAAGCTCTGCGTTTCTTTATTCCCGCCCTGCCTTGCTGTCTCCCCTTGTTTTCCTCAGCCTGTCCCTCTCTCGGTACGAGCTCCCTCTCAGATTGAATGGCTGTCCGATAAGGGCTGTGATTACATTGATTTGGCGTAGGGCCATCTCCACTCTCTGTCCATCTCTCTCCCTGCCTTCACCCTTCAATAAACTACTCATAGTACTGCAGGTGCAAAGATCTGACAGTCTGAGACACACACACACACACACACACACACAGAAAACACACAATCACTGTTAGAGAGGACGACAGAGCATGTGCAGGAAACCTCAAGAAATGGCGTAAAGGACATTCGACAGCATTAGTATTTAACTGGTGGGAAAAAGAACCTATAACAGTCATTAAACACTCTTTGCAGCTATGATAAAAAACGGGATAAGGAAGAACGATGAACAAAAAGATCAAACCTGACCACAATTTTCCAAATATTAACCGCAGCTTGTAATATCTAAAAGCAAAGACTCAAATGACTCCATTTAAAAAGCCAAATCATGAGAAATGCTCGCTGAGGCTGCGGTCTGAGGGTTCAGTGATAAATTCATCCCAGCAACCATCACCAGAGGACATTTCAGCACAATTATCAATCTCGATAAGGACGGGCTTCAGAAAATCTTCGCCACCAAGGCAACCAGAGAGCCCCTGCGCCCTTCAAGAAGAGCATGCAAAGCCATGTATAGTAGATATGGAGATGTTAGCCACAGAGGGCTGTTGATATGATATAATGTGTTTCCCTGTAAGTGACTGTGACTCTCTTTGTTTATATCAGTGATCCCTAACAACCAAATGTGTCCTACATCTCTGTGCGTGCCTGTCGCTCAGCGGCTCTGCCTGGCCTAGATCTGAAGTGATGGCTGATGCAGTTTCTACCAGTTGGGTGTCATTCACATCCTCTTCCAGCATTCATCCTCACTACAAACACAAGCCTCGAGTCTCAGCGGAGCCCTGGAAGCAGACGCGCCAAACAACTTCTTAGTTTTTGCTTGTCTGACTGGCAAAATGTAAGTGTAGAGAAGAAGTGGTGTACGAGTTTGCTAAGAGTGCGAGAATGTGTGTTTGTGTGTGCGTGAGAAGGGGGTGTAACATATGATCTGTTATGTTGCATCGCGCCTGTAGCTGACAATCCTTAAAAAGAATACGTGAAAACAGAGTACTGTACACGAGGACATTTATGTAGTGCAGATCTCTAAGCATGTGTGGGTAAGTCGCTATATGAAGGCAGGGTGAGAATAGAAAGCAGACTGTAAGCTGAAAAGAGGAAATACAGAAAAGGCTGAAAGTGATCCAAGCACAGAATACATGTTTAGTGGGTTTTAACAGTTTTGCCGAGTAGGCTACAGGCTGGTGCTTGTGTTTAAGGATATTTTAGGGGTATTCCCAAGAAACAACCTGTTGTTTCCGAAAGTGAGTTAATCCACATTGAAGATCACGTTACAGGAGACTCAAACATGTACTTTTAGTATCCAAAGTAATATCAGAATAACTTGAATGTACTATGAATGTACTTTGCTAATCAAGCTAGCTAGCTTCTGCTCTTACACTTGAAAGAGGAACCTACATGTTTATCCTACCTTAGACTTTAAAGTTATCAATAAAGTTAATGGACTATTATTTTGAAGCCTTGGTTTTGTCATTTTGGCCCACAAAACACTGGTTTTGAAACACGATCTGACTGTATATGGATGACAGGGTGTAGGTGGAGAGGACTACAGGCATAACCCAAGAACACTAGGCCAAATATAGCCCCCCTAACAGGACAGTCAGTTTATCCAATTTAAATCCCACTCTTCAAGTCTCTATCCTGTGTCTGCTGGCGTGCCCCAGGGTTCAGTATTAGGGCCTCTTTTATTCATTATCTACATGCTCCCTCTTTGCCAAATATTTTGAAAATATAATATCAATTTTCATTGTTATGCTGATGACACCCAGCTCTACATTTCCTCCAAACCTAATTCATCCCTTCCACCTTCTCCCTCTTGAACTGTCTTATGGAGATCAGATCTTGGTTCTCCTCCAATTTTCTCAAACGTAACGGTAATAAAACAGAAGTGTTACTCGTTGGCACAGCCTCTACCTTAACCAAATCTCACAGTTTCTCCATTAATATTGAAAATTCCCCCATCCTTCCTTCCCCGCAGGTAAAGAGTTTGGGTGTCATACTTGACAGTACTCTCTCATTTCAGTCTCACATTAATTACATAGCCCAGTCTGCATACTTTCACTTACGTAACATTAACCGACTTCGTCCCTTCCTTACTCCCCATGCTGCTGCCATCCTTGTCCATAGTCTTATTACTTCCCGGATCGATTATTGCAACTCCCTCCTATTTAGTCTCCCCAGTAAGTCCCTCCATAAACTTCAACTTCTTCAGAATTCTGCAGCTCGGGTCATAACTCGTAACTCCCCTAAGAGACTATATAACTCCAATTCTTCAACAGCTTCACTTTTAAGTGTATTCATAACCTCGCCCCTCCTTATCTCTGTAATCTGCTTCATATCACTACAGTTTCCCGCTCTCTCAGATCTTCATCTGCCACTCATCTTGTTGTTCCTTCTGCTCGTCTTATCACTATGGGTCACAGAGGAACTCACTTCCTTCAGCCTTAAGAAATATAGATTCCCTTATTTAAGTCACAACTCAAAGCCAACTTGTTTAAACTGGCTTACTCTCTTTAATACAGATTTTACTTGCTGGCAAATAGTAGTTTTTTGTGTGTGTGTTTTTAATTTTGTTGTTTGTGGCTGTATTTTGCTGGTTTCTGGATTTTAATTTATTTGAATCTATTTTAATCAAGTGTTTTATTGATGTCTTTTTCTCTTTGTAAGGTGACCTTGGGTTTAGAAAGGCGCCCTCAAATAAAATGTTTTATTATTATTATTATCATTATTATTATTATAATTATTATTAAAATTTTATTATTATGAAATTTTAAAATGCAAAGTCCAAATCCAGTGGGCTACATTGGATTAGATCCCCCACATCAGGTATTTTTTTCCATGTAGTTTTCAATTATAATGAACATCACAATCTTGACATTTGGGACCTGTTTAAAGCAATGCCACCCAAAGAAGCTCCAAACTTAAAGCAGACAAAAAAAAACCCCCTCAGACCTTTATGTGCTACATCAGAAGCAAAAAGTAAAAGTATATTGAAAAGATTTTTTTACTGTGTCACTTTCTATTGTGTGGAGACTTCCCAAAGTGCATAGAGTGTATTTATAAGTGTATTTTACAGCTACTGCCCAGAGTTGCTGTGTAGCTGATTATGTTGTGGTCATACCGCTGAGCAGGGGCTGGTTGCGTCTGTATGTGGCAGGCAGTGGGCCCAGGCGCTCCTGACGCTGGTTCAGAACTCTGCCCAGATGGCCCGTGTGACGCAGGCTGCCAACGGTCATGCTATGCAGGTACACTGGTTCCACAAAATGGCTCAGCAATGCCCCCTGCAGGCCAAGGATGTTCCATCTAGGGGTAGGGAGGAGGTGGGAGGAAGAAAAGAGAGAAGAAGTTAAGGAGGGAAGAGAGGAGAAAGGATGGAAGGAACAGCATTCGTGAAAACGTCGGCGAAGGTGTGAGTGTAGGATGAGGTGTGTGGGTGAAAGGAGAAACGAAACACAACAGTTGGCCAAAGATACGAAATAGAAGGAGGAGATGGAGGGGTGGAGCGGTGGATAGAGAGAGGCCAAGTGGGGAAAACGAGACAACGAGGCAGGTGTGAGAGCTTTGATGACAGGTGGAGACAATTTGATCATTATCTCGATGTGGGACGTGATGAATAGCAGCAAGTGACCACACACGCTCTTCACGCATAAACGTCCTCTTCCCCCAGAAACACAAACCGTCATCACCAACAACAACACCGCCAAAGGTCAGTACATCAGCATTCATTACCTGGAACAACACATTACCACGTGTGCATTCATCAGTGCCACGGAGGTTAATACACTGCAGGGCTGCAGGAGAGCCTCAGTCGACTGCTCGCTGCACGCGGATCTCCTTGTGGTTTGTTTAGCGAGCCACAAGTGACACAAAATCACTGTGGGGCTAATCCCGCAGGCCACGTGGGCACCTCAAAGTGTAGCCAGCAGCAGATGCTAATTTATACATATAGAATGATAATTAGCCTGTTTATTATAATCCCTGCCCTTCATAAATGAGGAGGAATCCTGCTGTTTACCTGAGCTGTGCTGGAGTTACATCGGAGGCTTCTAATTTTTACATCACTGTTCTTTTTGTTAATCAATGTCTCCTTATCATGGATGCAATTACACCCCGCATCCCCCCACCACCCCTTCCCAGCTTAATAATCACTCATTACAGCTTCCTTTGCTTCCCCAAGCAGTCAATTAACATCACCGGCTTTCTGGGAATCACTTAAATGGGCTCACAAAGCAGCAGTCCGCCCGCCTCTGCTTTACCTGCAATCTGTCACCAAGATCTGTCCTTCCTTCCCAAACAGAGAGGAGGAATTTTGTTCAAAAAGCAACGCGCGCACGCCCAAACAGAAAATACTTTAGCCTGAAATATTAATTTACCCAGAAAGCGACACCGTGAATCAGAAACATCTTCTAATCTCATGCAAGAAGAGACAGCCATCTGGCTTGGGCGTGTGAATCTAGAGAGAGGAGAGGGGAGAGGACCTCCTCTTTCTCTCTCTCTCCCACCCTCAGTAAACGCCGACCATTAAAGTAATGTGTTCATCTGCATAAAACTGCGGTGGAATGGAGAACATCATCGTTATATGAAAGCCATTTAGGCCCCTCAATTAAATCCAGCTGTCGGCTTCGAATCAAATATTAGTGAAGAATCTTCACCGAGGCCCCGGCCTTAAGAAAACACGACGACAATCGGCGGGCGATGCAACGGCCACTGTTATCAGCTGTGTTTATGATAAGAGCAAAGATCCTAATATCCCCTCTGGTCAAAAGCTGAACTAACGATAATAAAGTGCAGGAAGTGGGAGGAAGTGGAGGGGAATAAAAAAGTAATGGGAGGTTGCAAAATGAGCGTGACAGAGGACAAAAAGAGTATCCAGGGGATTGCTTTAAGATTGCAGTGTGTGCTGGTGTGTGTGTGTGTTCACTCTGTAGCTCTAAGCTCCTCTCACTTCCACCTTCCACTCCTGACCTTGATAAACTGGCCCTCTGTGACCCACTCAGTTTAACGATGGCCACCGATCATTTACAGCGATATAAAAAAAGAGGAAAGAGGAAGCTGTGGAGCAGTGAGAGCGCGTCTGCTGTCTGGCCGGGCGGGATGTGGTGAAGAAGGTGGTGAGCGGGTGGGCGGTGGGGGAGGAAAGCAGGGTTGTCCCTTCTCCCTCCCCCGTCACTCTATTTTTTTGTAAAGTAATTGCTTTCACCCCTGTTGGTGACCTGGGTAGATTTAATCACACCATCTCCACCCCTGGCCAACTGAATCAAATTGGTCAAATTAACAGCGGCTACACAGGAGAAGGGTTCACCTCTCCGCTCGTGCGCTCTCTCTTTCTCTCTGTGTCTGTGACACGCGCGCGCAGCAGCGGCTCAGCTGTAGTCCTGTACGGCTCGGCTGGCACAGCGTGGTGCTTACTAAGCTAAATTCACGGGTTCGGCTCCTGTTGAGGCAGAATCGTGGCAGAACAACTGAGACTATATTAAAAATTGATTTCAGATATTTCAGAGAACGTCAGGTGTAGAAGAGAAGAATTACAATTGTTGAATTTCTTTACTCGGTACAGCGGTGAATGTTTTTAGCCGTGCTAGCAAATCTGGAGTATTTCAGTGGGAAGGAATGGCTTTACTGGAGACAATCAACTGTTTGTGACATGTAAAAAGCAAAGAAATTTGTGTTTGAGCGATTATTACTTTGTTGTAACGATGCTTCTTGGCAATAAATCTTATCATGTGTGAAAGTTTATTTTTCCTTAAATGGTGCCACATTTGTAAGGGAAATGCATTTGCTGGTTGCTCCCATGAAAAACTTGCCAAATTTCTCTGCCAATGCCAAACAGCTTATTCGGCTACCAAAAGCCTCTTCGTGGCCTAGGTTCAGTAAGATGCTGGAAACATTCCTCAGAGATTTTGGTTCATGTTGACATGACAGCATCACACAGGTGCTTGCAGATTCTTCAGCTGCACATGCATTTAGCAAATCTCCTGCTCCCCCACATCCAAAAGGCGCTCTGCTGGACTGAGATCTCAATGAACTGCCTGTCATGTTCAAGAACATTTGAGCTTTGTGACACAGCATTTTATCCTGCTGCAAGCACAAAGGAAATTTCTGGCACAACTTCACCTGCTTCCAAGGTGCACTGGGGAAGAGCAATAATCTAAAGAGGCCGAAGCTCCACCACTAGTGGTATGAAGAATGACTTTATTACCCGATCAACGTGTTTTAGCCTGTGGCCTCTGCCAGGCCATCCAGGTGGTGTATAAAGGAGGCAAATATCCCCACACTACTGCACCACCATCAGCACAGAATGGCTCCATGCTTTCATGATGTTTATGCAAAATTCTGACCCCACCATCTGAATGTTGCAGCAGAAACTGAGCACAGCCATAATAATAACAGATTTATTTACTATTAGAATCATTATAATCACTTATCACCTCTAATACCACCTCACCACTTTAAATTTGCAATGTATTTGGAAATATATTTAACATTATTAAGTTTTTTGAATATGTGTAGCAGCCTCCAGTGTGACCACACTTAAGCCTCCACTCTTCACACAAGGACAGCGTGAAGCTGGAGGCAGAAGAGTAAAGCTGTCCTGATGTAACGTGGCCATCTGTCCTAAACTGGCCTGACAACATGTGAACATGGGTTCTATAGTAGTTTTGCTCTCTCATCATATATTACTGAGTCACTGAGTCTGTTTTAATCTAACACTGTTGTGCCAGGAATAAGAGAAATCAATGAATTAGAAATAAGTGATTAAAACCACAGTTTTCAACTGTAAACTGCTGCCCTCTAGTGGGCTGTGACGGCACTACAGGTCAGAGGTGGGCGGTACCGGTATTAGTATCGATACTGATATTGATATCAGATCGATACTAGTGCGAAAGCATCAATATTTTGTTTCTATCCTTTAACTTAGGTACATAGCCCAATAAATTGTATTAAATATTTTTTTTAGAAAATAAAAAATATACATCAAACATGTTTAATGAAACGTGTCAGTGTTGACTGACGATTGATGTCTATTTTATTTATAGGCTTTAGCATGATAAACAACAAAATCTGACCAAAAGCTTATTTACATCCTAGGTCTCAAATACACATAAAAAGCCTAAAAGTGTGTTTTATTGTTTTAACTTATTATTACGGAAAGAAAAAATCATCACAGCCATTTTGTGCTCAAATTGAAAATTACACATCTCATAAATCATAACTTGGTCTTGGAATTGGGCATTTTAAAGTATCACTACTGGTATCGGTATCGGCAATAGTAGCCCTGTATTTACTTGGCATCAGATCAATGCTAAAATTTGCAGTCCAGAACCAACACTTCAGGTGGGCTAGGTGAGTAATCTAATATTTACAATGAAGACCATTTTAATTGTGCATTAATTTTCATTTATTTGACCAGTTTTTGACATGAGGTCTATTTTCTATTTCACTTAATTGTTTGGAAATTGTAACTGACAGACGAATTCATCAGTTTTAGAGAAATGGTACTGAAAAGGTGGCAAAAGAAAAGTCTTTCATGGCTAATTATCATCAACAAGCAGCTCACAGCAACAGCAAAATTAATCTATGAAAACGAAGAGAAGTAGCAACAAAAAGCGAGCACCTATTGTTGGTTTTTACAAGTGTGAGAACAGAAGACGGGTAATTACGGGTTTGGGCAGACCACAGAGGTTTCTCTGTCCCTAAAGTGGGCTGCAGAAGCCTTGAGTTTGGAATATTAGTCATAGCAGCCTTTACCAACTATACACCACAGTGTGTAAAGGATTGTATGACTAATACGTTAGCTAAATAACAGGCAGCACTGCAGATCTAAACAAAGCCGCGATTAATACACTAATTCATTAGTATGGGATTAGCTATTCAAGTCACATATGGGAAATCAATAGTCACCCCCCCCCCGGACTACAAAAGATTTCTCACTGTGCACAGCTCATGTTAACACACCATCCCACACACACACACTGATGCATTAGGTAAATATCAGAGAACCCTCTCCTTACATCACATCTAAAAGTGCTTTATTTAAACAGAGATCTTTCCTTCTCATAAGGAAGCTAATCTCCTAATAAGGTTAACCTTTCCACCAATCACTTTAGCTTTCATTTCTTAAGTAGACCAGACATCTCGCGGGTGAAGGGGGTGAGCTGTTTTTTTTTTAATCTTTTCTTTTCTCTTTTAAACGAGCACAATCCATGCAGTAATAACTGCAGTGCTCACTCATATAATTCGATTATGATTTCAATAAATGAGGCATAAAAACAAATTATGAGTCAAAGCTGCGAACTGAACAAAAGTAGCAATTTTTGAAAAGTGTATCTATCACCGAAAGTCAAAACTAAAACCTGTGAGACAAAACCTACTTAATCTCAACAAGAGTGGGCGAGGGCAGCGAGGGAAAGCTCTGCCAAGGAAGCTCACTCTCTGGCCAGAATGGACTTTTAAGGCAACAGTATTGTATTTTGTATATATTAATTGTTTTCTTTGTTCTTTCGAAACATACTTGAAGAAGTTTGTAATGCAGGTAAAAATCAGATAAGAACAGCATGGCAGCTGTTTACAGTGATTACACAAACATTATGTATGTATAATAACTGGAAATGAATTCCTTGAGCTCATTAAATTATATAATAGTACAGAATATTTCTAACTAATTAATTATTCTCTTTTTCTTGAGAATACTTGGAGCCAAGTCGAAAGAAAAAAACGAGGTCAGAGGTCAAATGTGACCCACTTGTAAGAATCATAGTTTCTAAGTTATAAGGCTTTTTGTTGACAAATAAATCATTAAGTTGATCTTGAAGACTTTGGCGGATATAAACCAAATTTGATTGGCTTGTTAACATGACACCACTTGACATGCCTACAAGGTTTTACAGGAATTGATTCAAAACTTTTCAATCTATCGTGTTTAGAGACAGAATGATGGCGCGCATGCAAACACAACCAAAACCACAACCTCCTTGGTGGATGTAAAAAAAGAATGGATGCAGGATATGTGTGTGTTATTCTGGACACACACAAGAAAATGCGACTTTAAGCGCAGGAAATGTTGGGAACACGTGAGCGCACTGACCTGGTGAGCTTGTCTGTGCAGGACATGGTGATGAGATGTTCGCCCTGAAGGACACCGTCCCAGGTCTGGGCGGGTCCCCGGCAACGCACCGGCACCGTCCCCTCGCCTGACTCGATTTTAGTCCGCAGGTGACTCCGATGCTTCCTCATTAAGTGTCTGCTGCTGTGCACTGAAAGAATAATGCGCACGATCGCAGTTTTACTACTTTACAAAATCATTTCTTACTACACAACACCAGCCAGCGTCATGCAGTAAGCCAGTACTGAAGTCGCAGATCTCATCTCTCAGCAGTCAAGAGGGTTTTCCAATATGTCTTTAAATACATTACATGCAATTATACAGCACGTCTTAAGTAGGAGTTGAATTGTTTGCATGAGTTGCAAAGCTCTCAGCTGTTACAGTCTGTGTGTATGAAGCTGTGTACTTTCAAAAGGTATAACAGAAAAAGCAGATAAACAAGAAAACATTACTGATATGCAAGTTTAAAGTTTGGAGTAGGGAATTAAACGTATTAGTTTGCAACTGCCTGCTTCCTTACTGCTAATGAAGCAAACACGTGACTGGACTGTTTATGAATGCGTGGGCTGTGATTTTTGGGAGGGAGGAGGTAGCCTTCTCCCTGGAGCGATGCCCTTTTGAAAGTTTCTATTTTATTTTATTCAAACTGACAGAGAAATCCTTGCTTTATTGACACTGTTAGCAAGAGCGCAAGTTCCTTGATCCATTTAAGACAATTTCAGGTGGTTTAGCGTGGGCGTGCAGTGTAGCATGACCTCCACAGGTGCTGACAGTGGTAGTTAAAGTCAAATGTTTCTTACTGTTTGGATCATGCCTGAGTGCAGTTTGCATGCTCTCCCCGTACCGCTGTAGCTCTCGCTGCGTGTCATCCCTGTGACACTCTATAGCAATATATACGCCTTCGTTGCACTCTGACCAAATGTACATATGCAATCGCTGTTTTGGTTTCCTTTCTTGAACTTTAAACCCCACAGTGACACGCTCTGCTTTTCCTCTCTCCTCCTCGGCTGATCTGACAGCAGCTAAAACTTAAGCGCCGACTTCTAACTCAGAAATGTTTAAGAACTGTCAGGAAAAGGTGCTCGGTAATTTTGTAATCTGTGAGAGCGCACAGAATTACATTTAAAAGGTTTAATGCCTAAAAAGTATGAAAGCTCTCTCTAATGACAGCCTTTCTCCTTCTTTCTTTCCGTGAGTGCTGGTTTCATGAAAATTTCACTGCGCTGTAGCATGTACTCGCAGAGCTTAAAAAAGCAGCGTCAGTCAGCGAAGGACCAGATTACATTTCTGAACTCGTAGGCCACCAGAAAACTGCTGGGCAAACCATCTAAATGAATATACAATTTATATTCAGTAGGTAAGCAATAAAATGTCATCTAGTCAGCCCGGTGCAACTGAAAAGAGGCCAAAGACAGAATGTGACATGAAAAGGATGGCAGCTTCTTGTGAAATAATACAAGGAGAGCGGTGGCTTTCAGAAAGTCTGCCAGAGAAAATGATCTCTTTATAACGTAAGACACTGTCTGAGAAACTGAGAGAATGGCAGCAGTAAAATGGATTATATGTGTATTAAAATAGCTGCGTTTTATTCTTTGAATGATGTCGACTTTATGGAAAACAAGGAAACAGAAAGGGAGGGTTTCTTACGGTCAGCGGTGATTTCGTATGGAGAGTTGAGCCTCCCGTCTCCACACGGCGAGGTGCTGATGTACATGTGGAAATGGATGTTGTCTCTCAACCTGTAGCCGCACTCTTTGTGGTGCACAAATATCGACTCCTCCCAGTCCTCCGGCCTTTTACTTTGGCAGCATAAAAGGGAAAAGACAACAAGAAGGAGGGAGATTGATGAGAAAGGTAGAAGCATTTATCACAGCAAAGGACACAGATCTGCACTTTTCTTTTCCAATGATGAAGTGAGTTGACATGGACAGAGATGGACACTGGCCCTCTCTCTGACCACAGACAATTCTCCTCTGTCAGACGGAGTCCTGGACATTACTCTTGCTGCCCATAATAGTCAGAGCAAACAGGGGAATGAGTTTAACCTGTTGGCAAGTACACACCTTTGAGTCACGACACTGCCATTGTGAAGGCCAAACGAAGTAAATATCATTTCATATAAAACAAATGTACAGAAAATGAAAAAAAGTGCAGCATGGGTTTGAGTCCATTAACAGGAAGTTGTTAGATAGGCACTGATTACATGTACTCAGACAAGATTCAACCGTGTAACGTGAAAAACACGAGTGGGCTAAAAAAGATAGATGAACTAAAAAAATTAGTTGCTCTGTGTAATATGTGCTAACTGTCCCAGGTATCTGGTGGACTGTTTGGCTAACATTAGTAGAAGTCGTGTATAGCTAACAAGCTATGATCATAACCAGTTCTGATTGTGAAAGGTTGATGTGTAGTCCATATGTTCTAGTGTCTGCACGCTATGCTTCAGTAGCTTGTAGGACCACCTTTAGCACCAATAACTTGCAGTAATGATAATCGGAGTTTATCAGATCCTCACATTACTGTGCAGAAATTTCTGCCAGTTCTTCTTTACACTTTATTTACACTGTTGCTTCAGTTTATTGAGGTTTGTTCTCTTAAGTACACATATTCAAAAATTTAAGTCTTTTGTTTTTCAGCTATTCTGTTGTAGATTTGCTGGTTTGCGCGAGGTCGTTATCGTGTATGACATCGATTTCAGCCAAGCTGTAGTTGCTGGACAGACAGCCTCACATTTGTCTCATGTGAATACAACTGAATACTCTGGCATAGAGAAGAGTTTATGACCATCTTAATCAGCGGTCCCCAACCCCCAGGCCATGGACCGGCGGCGGTCCGTGAGTCGTTTGGTACCAGGCCGCAAGAGTTGAGGCTCGGGTGTGAAATTTATGGTTTTATGGTTTCCCGGGGTCTTTTCCCATGTTGTAGTTGTGTGTTTTACAGTCATGCGAGAAAATTAGGACACCCCATTAAATAATCGGCTCTTTATTAAGAAATGTTCACACATCAATGTCTAATCATGTTTTCATGTGTTACTGGAAAAGAAAGTGACTTAATTGCAATTAAACAACAAAAATAACAAAAATTACACATAAAAAAAAAGATATGAACAAAAATGTGTATTTTAATGAGGAAAAAGTTAGGACACCCTACCCCCTAATAACCAGTGTTGCCCCCTTTGGCTGTTATAACTTCAGTGAGAAACCTCTTGTCGCCTTTTACCAGTTTCTGACATCAGAAGCAAGTTTGGGCCACTCCTCAATGCAGAATTCTGTCAGCTGTGAGAAGTTTGAGGGTTTTCTTGCATGTACAGTCTGTTTCAAGTCACCCCACAGCATCTCAATGGGATTAAGATCAGGGCTTTGACCATTCCAGGACTCTCTACTTAGTTTTTAGCCAGTTCTTGGTGGATTTGCTGGTATACTTTGGGTCATTGTCATGTTGCAGTGTCCAGTTCCGCTTCAGCTTTAATTTTTTAACAGATGGTTTCACATGTTCTTCAAGCACCCCCCAATACACAGTTGGATTCATGATGGATTCTATGATGGTGAGCTGCAGGTGCTGCTGCAGCAAAGCATCCCCAAACTAGGATACTGCCACCTCCATGCTTCACAGTTGGTATAAGGTTCTTTGCTTGGAAGGCTGTATTTGGTTATGCCAAACATGTCTACTGTTCTGGTGCCCAAATAATTCAGTTTTAGATTCATCCGTCCAAAGAACATTATTCCAGAAGTCGTGGTCTTGCCTTAATGCAAAGGTTTCCTCCTTGCACACCTCCCATGAAAGTCAAACTTGTGTAGTCTCTTTCTGATAGTAGAGTCATGCACTTTCACATCGACAGTAGCCAGAGCCTGCTGTAGTTCCTGTGATGACATTTTAGGATTTTTGATGGCTTCTTTGAGCATCTTGCGGTCTGCTCTGAGGTGAATATGCTTGGATGGCCAGACCTGGGCATGGTGGCAGTTGTTTTGAATGTCCTCCACTTGTAAACAATTTTCCGGATGGTGGAATGGTTGATGTCAAATTCTGTTGAGATGTTTTTGAATCCCTTACCAGACTCATAAGCAGCCACAATCTTCTTTCTGAGGGCATCACACAGCTCTTTAGATCTCACCATGGCGCTCAATTCAACATGTCAACAGTCAGGAGCACCACTATCACCCACACATGCAGGGCCTTGGGGTAAAGGTGTGTCACCAGGGTGCAGGGGAGGCATTCCCCCCTCTGTCCCCTTCTGGCTGCCT